CTAGCCCCTTCTTAAAAGAACTGGGGGAGAATGATTTTTGCCTTTGGTTTGGTTTGGTTTTGGTTTTTCAAGACAGGGTTTCTCTGTGTAGCCCTACCTGCCCTGGAACTTGTTCTGTAGACCAGGATGGCCTTGAACTCACAGAGATCTGCTTGCCTCTGCCTCCCAAGTGCTGGGATTAAAGTTGTGAGCCACCATTCCCAGCTCTTTTTATTTTTTAATTTTAAAAAGTTTATGTTAATAAGCAATTACACATTTCAATTTGGAATAAATGTTTTGTTCATTTTTTAGAGACCTCTGGTTAGACCCAAAAAGAGCAGGGGTGAGTGGCAGGGAGCCGATGGACACCCAGCCCAGATTCTGCCTAAATGTGGATGTATGGAAGCAAAACCTGTGCTGAGTATAGAGACTCAGGATGGACACAGATTGCAGAAAGGTGTGGCAAAGGCCTTACTTAGGATGATAAAATGTAGTCACGAGAGGATTGGCTGGAGATCTGTACAAAGCCGTGAGCGAGCATGAGGTGGTAGAGTCTTTCAATGAAGGCAGGGGAGGAGGTCTGGGGATCAGTTTGCAGGGTGTGGTGGTGGTGGTTGTTGTTGTCGTTGCTTCTGGTTACTTCCATGCTGGGCTATAAGAGCTGAGGCACTGAGAATCCAAGGTAGTATGACAGGAGCCATCTCCAGGGTGTGAGATCACACCACTGTCGCTGTCTTCTGAAGCTGCCAGGGAGTAGGACAAGGCCGTGGTCTTGGGAGGCCTCTTAGGTAGTTTCCTAGGCATGTTCCACGCAGTCATATGAATTTATCCTGTCTTGGGGCTTTTTCAGAAGGAGACACGTGTTCTAGCTAGCCTTCTGCCGCTGCACTAAACACAGTGACAAGAAGCAATGTGGGAAGGGAAGTATCTTTGGCTTACATCTCCATATCACAGTCCGTCATTGAGGCAAGTCAGGGCAGGAACCTGGAGGCAGGAACTGAAGCAGAGATCACAGAGAAGTGCTGCCTACTGCTTGCTCCTCGTGGCTGACCCAGCCTGCTTTCTTATTCCACCCAGGACCATGTACCCAGGAGTTGCACAGCCCACAGAGGACTGATCCTTCTCCTATTGATTACTAATCAAGAAAATACCCCACAGGCTTTTCCACAGGCCAATCTGATAGAGGTAATTCTTCAACTGAGATCCCTTCTTCCCAGTACAAGACAGTACCAGAGGAGGGGGGCATAGGCCAAGGAGTTAACTGTAATGGCAATATAACAAATACAAGTGTCTGGACATGATGTGAGTCAGGAAGTGTGATCCCAAACAACTTCAGAGCTCAGGTACTCAAAGGGAGCGAGACTAGATGGCCAGAGGGTACATGAAACGGAGCGTGAAGGGACCATCACTGCAAACACTGTCCAGGACTAGAGAGCAGCCTTGAAGTGGTACCGGAAGAGATGGAGAACAAGTACCCAGGAGGGGAGAAGCCAGGGCTTGGGGCATGTGGTTGCTGATCAGGGCAATGTTGTCACCTACAGTAAAACAAGAGTGAACAGGGGCAGGCAGCAAGGGGACTCTCAGACGCCCAGCCCAAGCTAGCCTGCAGGGTAGTGTCAGCCAGTGTGTGCTGCTGAGGGTCTAAGGTATGCAAGAGGAATAACTGCAAACTGGGTACCACAAAGGAAGGCCAGGGAGCCGCTTGTTCCACTTGTAACCCAGGGGAGGGCAGTGGAAAGTGTCAAAGCTGAGCCCGAGTCTTTAGAAGAGCCAGCTCTGTGTCAGATGTGGGGGTGGGGGGTCTCAAAACAGATGTCGGGGTCAAGCCCCTGGAAATGCTACTTGCTGGAGTCAGTTCTCTTCTCCCATCCCGTGAGTTCTGAGGATCAAACTCAGGTTGCCAAGATTGGCATTGGGTCACTCACTAAGCCATCTTTGGAGCCCTCAGAGTCAAGCTTTAAAGATGACCCACGATGAGCCCCACAGCAAGGTAGGAGCCCAATCGGCTCCCACTAACTCCAGTGACAGATGCTGCATTGCATAACCGCTCCCACATTTGTTTTTCCAAAAGTATTTTTATTTGGTTAACTATTCCTTAGTGAGCAGCAATTATTTATGTGGAGACTTCAGAGACCAACTTTTGACTATTTGCCTTGTCCTTGAGTGGAGCCACAATTACATAACACATTTCTTCTAGTAGTTTCTGAAGTCTAAGAGGCTGTTGGCTTGTAAATTTTGTCAGTCTGTTCCTGTCCGATCACAGGAGAAAGTACAGGACAAACAGTGTTCTCTTCTCTATTTATATCTTTAGAAGCGTTCAAATGCTTCTTTCCCCTGAATGCCTTGGGTCAGAGGCTTCATCACTTTGGTGGAAAGACTCATTGCCAGTATGAATTTGTCAGCTTTTATCTTTTTGGACATAAATCCAGACACCAGCTTTGGGACACAATCTGCTTTTCTATCCTCCAAAGGCTGTGCCTTTCCATGTGTGTCCTATCATCAACTGGAATGAATGAGTGGCAATTTCTTCACCTGAAGTTGCTATGCTATGCCAACCTCCACCCTGACACCCCAGTATTTGTGGGCTGCCCCAAGGACTGCTCTCCTGAACTTCATCTTGCCAGGACCTCAAGAGTGTAGTCCAGGGCTGGAGAGATGGCTCAGCGGTTAAGAGCACTGACTGTTCTTCCAGAGGTGCTGAGTTCAATTCCCAGCAACCACATGGTGGCTCACAACCACCTTGAATGAGATCTGGTACCCTCTGCTGGCCTGTAGGCAGAAAGCTGTATACACAATAAATAAAATTAGTTTTTTTTTCTTTTTTTTCGAGACAGGGTTTCTCTGTGTTGCTTTGGAGGCTGTCCTGGAACTCGCTCTGTAGACCAGGCTGGCCTCGAACTCACAGAGATCCGCCTGCCTCTGCCTCCCGAGTGCTGGGATTAAAGGCGTGTGCCACTAACGCCCGGCTTAAATAAATAAAATTTTTAAAAAAGTGTAGTCCACTCCCCCATCTGTAATCTCACTGAGTGTTTCTTAGACGGGTTTATACAGAGGCTCCAAATTCTTCAGCCTTTGCGAATTTATCTTTATTGATGTCAACAGCATGATCCGGGATGCACCAGCCACTTTATAGACCATGATCACTCCGTCCAATGCCTCCTATACCAAAGATCACACAGTAGAATCAGGCTCTGCCTTACCAGTATTCACAGCAGCACCATGGCCAGTGGAAATGCTACAACCAAGAAGACAGATTTTATCCAAAGGTGCTGAAGGATCAATTTTAGCAACAGAGATGTCAGTCACAGCTTTGTATTTGGAAAATGTGCTGATTCCCATGAAATGAAAAGTAGACTTCCCGGGCTGGAGAGGTGGCTCAGAGGTTAAGTAAGACCAGTGGCTGCTCTTCCTGGGGTCCTCTGTTCAAGTCCTAGAAAGCACATAGTGCTTCACAACCATCTGGTGCCCTCTTCTGGTGTTCAGGCATACATGCAGGCAGAACACTATATGTATCATTTAAAATTTTTAAAAAGCTGTGGGGACAGAATTTTGAAAAAAGAAAAATAGACTTTACTTTGCAGGTAAATCTGCTAGCACTGTCTGGCATTAATCCTCTCCTCTGAATGACTCATCTTCTTGCAAAGGTTTGTTTTAGGATTCAGACAAAATTTGCATTCTCCACACTGTAGGATGTAAATCAGGATGACAGTACCACCTGCTTTCAGCTTAGTAACCCCTTCAGCAACGTTTTCCATAATTCCAGCACCCTCATGTCCCAAGGTCACTGGGGAACGCCCCTCAGGGTCAGCTCCACTTGGGGTATAGGCACCGCTCAGGGTGTCGGCACCCATGTGCAAACAGCAGTGGCAATGATCTTGATTGGAACTTCATGCGCCTTTGGAGGTGCAGCTTCTGTCTCCTCTATAGAGGGAGGCTCCCAGGCGGCTGCAGCCTTGCACCTGATCTCCACATCTGCAAGTTCAGGTTCATGCGCTGAATATCCAGAACAACTGTAAGCATGGGGTATGCATAAGGGGAGGGGCTCACGCCCACATTTGTAGACTTATGCAAAGAAATAGGTTCCGTCACTATAGATTAATTTCATACTAGCAAAGGAGACCAGCAAATATCCATTATAAGCAGGAGTCTAAGTGGTAAAGAACTAGCATTAGGACAGTGCTTGAGCGGCACAAAGCAGTGCTCTGAGGGTTATGTCCGGCAGAGCATACACAAGTATGTAAGTATAAGCAAGTGAAGGACACCATGATGCCCTGCTCAGACATAGGATAACGGGGCTCATTCTGACTGTGGCTAGAGGGAGAATTCTGTGTTGACGTGGGGCTTCCCAGGTCTGAGCAGGATCTGCAATCAGCACCTCGTAGGAGAGACCTGGGATCTGCAATCAGCACCACGTAGGAGAGACCATCAAACCACCAGGTGGCAGCAGAGGATAGGAGAAAGGCAGGACAACTCCAAACTGAAACTCTTCCCAGGTCACCCTATCTTCCCTGAACACTGCCTCCAACCTCAGACTTCCTGTGGCTCTCTCTCTCTCTCTCTCTCTCTCTCTCTCTCTCTCTCTCTCTCTCTCTCTCTCTCTCTCTCTCTCTCTCTCTCTCTCTCTCTCTCTCTCTCTCTCTCACACACACACACACACACACACACCTTAGGAAGCCTCAACCCTCTGACCTCATGTGCCCAGGCTCTTCTCCTACCTGTAGCAGTAGGGTCGCCTCAGCCTACCCCTCTCCAATTGCAGACTAGGACCATTAAGCAGAGGTGGGGGTCCCAACCCCAAAGAAAATCTGGGACGTAAATCCCAGAACTTGTCATTGCATCCTGGAGGTCACCCATGGCCTTTGGCACTCCTCTCTATTAACTAAGTGGCACTTGGCTCACCCTGAGTGGGATTTATTCCATTTACCCCAACTTGTTTGCCAGCAGCCCCCTTATGATCCACTCAAGTCTGGCACTTCTTGGCACCTGATGGAGCACGGTGGCATGCATGGCCCAGTTGACCTGACAGGTCCTGATAGGTATGGCCCGCCCCTGGGCAAGGTGCCACCTGCTAAAACATAAAAGCCAGGTAACCCCAGCAGTTCTTGAGACTGCCGCCATGAAGGGGAGCAGCACTCTTCTGCTGGTGGCTCTAACCCTGCTCTGCCTCTGTGGTAAGTCTGGGTCTTACTTCTGAGACTTGCAGGAGATAAGGGGACCCACGGGGGTGAAATCCTGGGATCAGGTAGACAATGCCTACCGTCGTCACAGACCCCATCCACAAAGTGCAGGGAATCTGCTGACCCCAGTCCCAGCCCAACCCACCCTGACCTAACACTAACCAACCACCAAGGACATTGCCACCCACCGTGTCTCAACCCAACTTGACCAGACCCTCTGAATTCAACTAACCCATGGGAAGAAATCCCCCTGCATCAGGGCATGACTGTTCTTCCTTTGCGAGGTCAGGGACTCAGAGGGGACAACACTGCAGCTCCCACTAGTGGTAATGGGGAAGGGTTGTCCCAGGAGTGACAGGAAGATGTGGGACAGGAAGGAAATCAAGTCCCTCCCTTGGCCTTACATCCCCCTTGCAATACAGGGCTGACTACAGCTGAGGATGACAATGAGTTTTTCATGGAATTCCTGCAAACGCTGCTGGTGGGAACCCCAGAAGAGCTCTATGAAGGGCCCCTGGGCAAGTACAATGTCAATGACATGGCCAAGGCAGCACTGGGAGAGCTCAAGTCCTGCATCGATGGCCTGCAACCTGTGCATAAAGAGCAACTGGTCAAGCTGCTGGTAACTGGGCTGGGACTCCCATCCCCAAGTGTCTACAGTCCTTCCAGGCCCCACCCATGCATGACACCTGATCACCAGTCTACCCCCACCCCTAGACTACATCAGCAAGCTGAGGCGGGGACCTCACAGAGAAGCCTCCAGAGTCCTTTAGTCCTGCTTCCCACATAGGCAGTGCCTATGCACACAGCTCCCCAAGGCGCTAGGAAGGGTAGGCCACAGTGTGCAGAACCTGTCAACTCCACTGCTATGCACAGACCTGTCTGCCACTGGGACTGGTGGCTCTGGTTCTTGGTTACTGGCTCTCCTGGTCCCCACACTTTTCTCTTTCAGGTGCAAGTGCTAGATGACCAAGAGGACACATAAGCAGCCTGAGACCTGGCTTCACTTCCACAAATGACAGGACCAGCCACACAAACAGCCATGGATGGGCTAAGACCACTGCTTCCTCACAAGCGAATTCACCCTCAAACTGTTAAATCAATAAAGCCTCCCGCAGCCCAGGCACTGGCTTCTCTCTCTCCCTGTAACACAAGGACACACAGAAAGTCCTATCAAGGACACCCAAAGATACAGACTCATATGTGGGGTCACTTTCCAGAAGCAATGTGTGAGAGCAGCCTCGGGACACCATGTGAACGCTGGGAGGCATTCAGGAGGGATGGGGTCTACAGTGATGAGATGGAGGAGCCTAACCTAGAAAGGCAGGGCTGGGTTAGGGCTGAGGCCTCTATGAGGCTGCTGATTCCCCAGAGGAGCTATGCATAAAAAGTCAGGCAATAGTACAGCCAGCTGATACACAGGCGCTGAAAGCTTTGAAAACAATCTCTCTTTCCCAAAACACCCCAGGAAAGAGAGCCCAACCTGAACCAGAACCCTAAGAGGAGTCTTAATGAGGTCAAGAAGGGAAGGCCCGATGGCTCGCAAGGACACCCAGGGTCCTGAGAGGTGGGCTTTGCCAGCAGGGCAGCTGAAAGAACTACAGGGACTGAGGAGGTGTAGGAAAAGGCAGCTTTTCCAGAGAAGCCCACCTTAGTCTCCAACCCAACCCTGCACTCCCAGACGTCCAACAGACAGAACCTACTGTCTCTGTTTCCCCTAATCAGCCAAAGCTAAGGAAGAACCTGCAGCCTCACTTTATCTGTATCCGTCCCAGTCACCAAAAGAGTTAAAGAGCCTGGAGAGTAAGGGGATCCCTGGAGAAGTGGGGGTGTCTCTGAAAAGGGGTGTTCTCTAGAGAGGGTAGGGGCTCCTTGGAGAGACAGAATTCCCTAAAGAGGTGGGAGCCCCTGGGTAGGCATGGGGTCCCTGGAGATGTAGGTACACACTAGAGGGGAGGTTGCTGGAGAGGGTGGCGGTTCCCTGAAGACAAAGTCTCTGGAAAGGGTAAGCTCTGATGAGAAGCTTCTGGCAGAGGCCATTGTCCCATCACACACACTGTGATCTAGAACTCCTTGCGGGACAGAGCCACATTCTAGAGCTCAGGGGCAGGGACCCCTCCCCAATTCTCAAAACTTGGGGAAAGAGGGAAGCTTTCTCTCCATGCTCCTTTTTAGGGAACTGCCTGGCACAGACGCCAGGGGGACAGGCCACCGGTGAGGAGGCTGGGTCCCAAGCTGCCCTAAGCCCATTCCTGCACGGAGGAGGTGAGGCCTCCCAATTGCTCCCCTCTCGCCCATGACACAGCTCAGCCAAGAAGCTCTCGACCCTTGCCAGCCAGCTCTTTGCAAAGTTGCACCCAGGGTTCTCTGAGCCGGCCATGCTCCCCTAGACCCAAAAGAATAGTCAGTGCAGGGCCAGGGTGGGCAGCCCCTCTGAGCCTATCCTGAGAGCATGACTCCTACCCATATCTTGGAGCTGTAGAGGGGTGAGCTCACCACTCCGGATGGGGAGCTCCCTCTGCTTGTAACTGCTCAAGACCCCCATGTCTCCATGGGGCAAGGACTGGGCCAGCAAGATGCAGTATCAGCAGAACCAGGAATGGGGACATGAGGGCCAGGAGTGAGATGGGACAGGACATCCCAGCACCTGGTCACCCTCTTGTCCATGGACAGAGCCAACCATGGGAGAGGAGGTATGGGTGGGCGCCTGGAGGCCCCATCGCCCCCGGGGGCCCATCATGGCCCTCTACAGCAGTCCTGGACCCAAGTACCTGATACCACCCACCACGGGTAAGATTGCCTAAGGGCCTGGGGTTCGGTGGGGACAGGGGAAGAAGCCAGAAATGGCATGGCCTGGGATGGGTCTGGGCTCAATCCTTGACTCCCAGTGGAGAGAAGGATGCCTTGCTCCAGCAGCCCTGAGCCCCTGTGCCCACAGGCTTTATGAAGCACACTCCCACCAAACTTCGAGCACCAGCCTACAGCTTCCGTGGGGCCCCCATGCTCTTGGCGGAGAACTGCTCCCCAGGGCCCCGCTACAGTGTGAACCCCAAGATCCTGAGGACTGGCAAAGACCTTGGCCCTGCCTACTCCATCCTGGGGCGCTACCAAACCAAGACCATGCTGACCCCTGGCCCGGGTGAGTGACCCCTGACTTCTGCTTCAGGCTCTAATATGCATGTCCAGGTATGTGAAGGCCAGATAGCCTCATTCCTCCTGTTCCTGGGGACACCGTCAGGCCTGAGCAGCAGAGCCTGAAACCCACCAGTTCTCCTCTTCCCGGAGTCCAGGGACAAGGCCCACACCAGTGCTTGACAACAACCCTGCAGCCAGTATTTCTACCATGGACATCTCTGACCAAATCTGTTCAATCACCATGTTGGGGCCCAGAAGCCCTGTGTCTTAACTGTTCGGACATCCCTTGTGGGCACCCAAGTGTTGGGGGTGGGGTGGGGAACTCCAGATGCTTGTTGTTCCTGCACACCCTCCCTCCTCTCCAGGTGATTACTTTCCAGAGAAATCTACCAAGCACGTGTTCGACTCAGCACCCAGCCATTCTATTTCTGCCCGGACCAAGACCTTCCGAGTGGACAGTACTCCAGGTCTGCTGCAGCCAGCCAACTGATGTCACGGAGTTGGGGTCCTGGCACAGGGAGGAGGAAGGGTAGCTCAACATAGACCTTCAGAAGGTAGAGGGCACCCCAGATAGGAAGCAATGGGTCTGTCCCAGCTTAAGGCTCCCCCATCACCCTCAGGTCCTGCTGCGTACATGCTGCCTGTGGTAATGGGGCCACACACGGTGGGCAAGGTCTCCCAGCCCTCCTTCTCCATCAAGGGCCGCAGCAAGTTGGGCAGCTTCAGCGATGACCTGCACAAGGCAAGTGTCCCCCCAGCTGAGTACAAAGCCTGGCCCCAATAACCTGTCTGATCCCCTTTCCAGAAGACCAACGAATCCCCAGACAATTGCCCTGCTGAAGCTCCTGCATCCCTCCACCTCTGGGTGCCTGCCACCTCCCCGGGCTACATTCAGTGGTGGGGAGGGGCCAGGAGACCAGCTTGGGTGATGTGATGATACTGAGAACAAGGTGTTTGTGTTACTGCCTGGAGGCCAAACACTAGTTTTAGATAGAGGACGTGGAAGCAAGGAAGAAGGCAGCAAGGGGGCTTGAGCTGCTTGGGGGGGAGGAATGTCTACCTGTATTAACAGCTGGTACTGAGGCCCTGGAGTAGACAAACAACACTCCGTAGCACTACAGGAGTTTGTTGACCTCACTAGACCCTGACCTTTGCCCTCAAGACCAAGGGGATCAGGATCACGTCCCAACAGGAAAGGGAGCCTTGCACATACCCTCAGAGGAGTGGACACAAGATTGGCACGTTGGGAATGCCACTGCCACAGTGAGGCTGAGATTGATGGTAACACCCCCACCCCATAAACAACAGGATGTTGCTCCATGGCTGGTAGATGGCTTAAGTGTCTTTGACAAACCAAGTGTTCCCATACCTAACCCTATCCTCTGGGGCCAGATGCCCTGGGGAAGCCAAGCCTATCTGAGCCCTCTCATCTTCCAGACTCCAGGTCCTGCAGCATACCGTCAGACTGATGTTCAAGTGACCAAGTTCAAGGCTCCACAGTACACCATGGCTGCCCGGGTGGAGCCCCCAGGGGATAAGACCCTGAAGCCAGGACCAGGAGCCCACAGCCCTGAGAAGGTCCAGGAACTAGAGGGATCAGATAGGGGTCAGGGGAAATGATCCAGAATGTATAGGGAGGGCTAGCACCCTGCCATGGTGAGTGGGGGATCTTGTGCATTTCCAGCAGTGGCCCTGATGGTCACCTTTCAGTTACAGGAAACCTGGGTTTTAGCCTCATCCCAGAGGTCAGCCACTGTCCCCAACGGCAGCTAAGGTTACTTAGCACAGCATGGCCTTCACACTGGCAACCTTGGCCCCAAGTTCAGAAGAGACTGAGCCCCTCGCTCCAATCCCAGGCTGCGAATGCGCCTCACAGTCCTTGTCCTCTTTCTAGGTGACCTTGAACAAGCCTTGTGCCCCCATTGTCACCTTTGGCATCAAGCATTCTGACTACATGACCCCCCTGGTCGTCGATGTGGAGTAGCCTCGCTCTCCATCCCATCAGCCTGTGACCACGACCCTCCCACAGACATGCGCTGGGCTGACAATGGGATGGGCACTTCACCAACGAGCCCGCTGCCAGCCCCGCCCTGCACCACACAGCACACTAGTTTGGACAGTTCTGACAAGTTATTTTTCCTATACTATCTCCTGTTTGTTAATCTTGTTTCCTGCCATGTCCAAATTATTTAATAAACCATAGATTGCATCTGTAAGGGTTTATCTTGTAGAAAAGACAAAGCTTATCCAGAGGAGCCCCACTTTGGCTTCTTGGCACGGAGGTCCTACAGAGAAAGTAGGACTGGGGACTGAGTTCACTCTGAGAGCCAGCGATCCAGAGCACCTTGGTAACAGGGTACAACAAAAGTGCTGACTGATGCCGTGTGTGTGTGTGTGTGTGTGTGTGTGTGTGTGTGTGTGTGTGTGTGTGTGTTGGGAAGAGGCTCCACACATGCAAGGTTATACAACCACACCACACAGACATAGCAGCCAGAATCTCAGCTCATGTCAGCACTGGCCTGCAGGCTTTCAAGGAGACACACCTCAAGGAAGGCCTGGGCATGGCAGAACACATGGCCATTTTCACTGTGCTGCCTCAAGTTCTGACCACAAGAACAATGTAACAAGACATGAGCTCTTTACTGCTATTACCATCAAATCTTAGCGGAGCTTGTTTTCGCCCCCAGCCAGTAGGAGGATGTGTGCAAGAGCTGGCATCTCGGCTGGGCCTGAGGACAGTGTCTACAGGGGCTCTCAGAGGTCCAGGGAAGCAGGAGTGCAGTATCCCCACAACTTTGGGGAGGTCAGTGCAAAACAAGTGGCCATATCTAACACACACTGGGAACCTTTATCTATACAAGCCTGTGTGTCCCAGCCAACTTGTCCCTACTCCCTCAGCCCTTGGGAAGTAACACTGTCGTGACCCTACTCTCAGGCTGGCAGAGAGAGGCCACACAGAAGGAAGTTCGTGGGTCTGTGGCTGTCCTGCCCAAGGGAGACAAGGCATCCCTGGAAGAAGGGACAGTAGACTTCAGCACCCAAGGCCAGCTTCAGACTAGGGTTGGCTCAGAATACTTCAAATCCCTGGGAAATGAGGACAAGGAATACACTGCATCCAAGATTTTATTAGCTAGAGGCCTTGAATTGTAGGATGGACCTGGTGGCTCACACACAGCCCCTCACACTGGGCACCAAAAGCTTCTTAGGAATTGTGCTGTTGAGGATCCCCACACACATTAGCGGAAGCGCCAGGTGTTGGAGGCCACGGTTACAACCTTCAGGAAGTTGCTCTGACTCAGGGGCTGTGGCATTGGTAACCCCCTTCATATGACTGATGCACGAAAGAGCAACAGTTAAATGTCACAAGAGCTACAACCCTGATGCCCAGAGTATCTGGAGAACTATGAACAGCCATGGAGACTGGTGGAGCAGGGTGGAGCCCTGAGGACAAAGCTAGTCGTGTTGGGGGGGTATCTCACAGAGGCATGGCAAGGACACTGCTCCAGAGGAAGTTACCCCCAAATAGGGTTTCCCAACATTCCCAGAGAGTAGAAGTCAGCTGCACATAGTTCCAGGAGCCAACGCTGAAACATGAACGTGCCTGCTGTGGGTCCAGATGGAAGAGGGATGCAGGCAGTTATTACCATGCTTGGAGACAAGCAGAGAGCAAAGCCCAGTCCTGGCCCACGGGCACTGGAGACACAGACGGAGTGCCTGCAATGGGAAGCCTAAGAACAAGGCACAAGCTAGATGAGCCCAGCTGGAAGTTTGCAAACGGCAAAGCCAGAGAGCAACAGTGCGGAGTGACCGGCGTCTAGTGGGGGAAGTACCCAAAACAAAGGATGGGCCAGGATGGGCCTTCTCCTCCAGGTTAGGGCTCAGGCAGACACAGTGGAAGGGCCAAATAAACCTGAAGTCAGTGTGTGCAAAGAAAGGCTGCTCCGTAGGGAAGAAGGGAAGGTGCTAGGGCATCAACAGCAAGGCATTGCTACAGGCGAGAGGCCAGGCTATGACAGACTCTGGCTTAACCTGGAACTCGGAGGTAGTGTGGTTCTGGACAGATGGGCCTTGTGGTATGGCCACATGGGTGGGCAGTGAGCCAGTCCAGGAGGAAGAGAGAGAGGGAGAGAGGGAGAGGGAGAGGGAGAGAGGACACAGACATGAGAAAGACACAGAACTTCATGGTTCATTTCTTAGACATTTTATGTGAAAACCAAAAGTGCTGGGCTCTCATAAACTGTTGTCCCGTCAGCTCCACTGGTCAGTTTGTGTACAAATGGGACTAGCCAAGGAGGGCGGACCGGGAAAGCAGGGAGACACAAGTCTGTGGAGTTAGTTATGCAACAAGGAGGTGGCTCAAGCTCCCCCAGCGTGGGAGACTGGCTGTACAGAGTAGGGCAAGGTTCAGTACAAAGCCAAAAAGTCCCTGCCACAAATTCTCTCATAGGTGGCTTTCTGCCCCATAAGGAGCCCTAGCACAAAGACCACTCCAGTACTGCCTGGCTTTGAAAAGCCACACTATACCATTTCTCAGCCTGTTTGCCTGGAGATGGGTACATCTTTGGCACTGAGAAGATTCTTAGTCCCAAGGACACATATTTCAGCTCCTGGACACATGGTCTTGTGGCCCAGAAGGATCTTAGCTCAATGCTGATAACAAGGGCTGCAGTCCACTCCTCTACCACAGCATTGCCTCTTCCCTGGGGTCTGACTTCAGCAGCTGACTGGTGGGTACGGCCTTGATTCCTGGCCTCTGCCTGGAGTTACTGCCATATCCATCCTGATGACCAGGCCAGCATTTGAAGAGGGTTTATGGCCATATTCCCTTTCGGTGTCAGCTCCAGACTCCTCAAGAACACAGATGGTCTTAACCAGACATAGACAAGTTAGGTCAAGACAGAAGACCCTTAAAATGCTGGCTTCTGAGGCTGTCGGCCACATTGGGCAAATGCAGGACTCGTAGATGCTTTGTTTAGATATGGTTCTTTCTCACACAGTGTGGCTCTGGCTCTGGCTCTAACAGTGTCTCCAGCACCAGGGAGTAGGGTTGGGTTGCCTTTTTCTTCCTCCTTCATACACAGGACATGAGCTCATTATGACAGAGGCAGCTGCAGTTGTCCCATCTTAGGAAGATGAATGACCCATGATGATAACTTCAAAGGAATCTATTTTGGAATCAGGTCCTCAGGAAACCAGATGTAGGAGAGCCTGGCTGCCCTTGGCTCCCATTGGCTCACGTCCTTGACCTCGATAAGAGATGGTAGAGGATGAAGAAGGCCACAATTAAGACCACGGCCATACCACACAGAAGCTTCCGGTTGTCTCGCCCAGACCGTGCCACTGTGGAAAAGCGCTTCACACTCCCTGTGAGTAGGCCAGTCACACTCATGAAGTCTGAGTCCTGCAGGAAGGACCCAACAGGATCACAAAGAGGTGGGACCCTTGACTACCCACCCATCCCAGCACTGAAGGGTAGAGACGGCAGAGCAGACAGCATGGGGGCAGAGCTGACTGTAGCCTGTATTACTACAGGTGCTTACCATGCCATCTAGGTATCGGTTCTGGTCTTCTGTGTCCCTATCGATGTCCAAGGCCAGCTGTTTGGGGTATAGAGAAGGCACAGTCAAGCAAGGACAAATATGGATGGCAGCACCCATCTTCCCTTCAGACCAGCCGGACGTTATGACACCAGAAAAGGCTACAAAGGTCAAACTATTACCTGAGGTATCACTCAAGTTAGCATGTCCACAGACAACATATGGTCTCCTTCCTACCCTCTCAGCCCCACTCACTGAGGTAGCACACAGAAGGGAAAGGGGCCACCACTGACCGATTTGAGCCTGGTAACCTTGGAGGCCAGGCTATCAGCCATCCGCTTGTTTTCTCGGTCTAGAATCTCCTCCACAGCACCAGAGCTCGGAGCTGCAAGAGAGACTGAAGGGTAGTATTCACTCATGAATGTAGCCCCCTGACTCCTCACTCCAGTGGAGTATGGCCTAGTGAGGCATCTAAGGAGATATGGCCCTTATATGTCTAATTTAGCAGGCCCCACCCTGAGTTCCAACAGGTGGACCACCTACTCACCAGACATGTAGCATGGGTCATGTGAGCATATGTACTGTGTGCATGCCCAAGCAAGGATAGGCAGGGGGAACCAGCAGGCTCAGTCTACACTACCCTGCTGATATTGTTCCTGAACCTGAATGAACACTGCCTTAGCTGAAATTACCATCTGTGGGTGTAGCACTGGTCTCCAAGGAAAGGGGGAAATTCTGGTAGGGGCATAGGAAAGAACACTCAAACAGGTCAGTAAGGCCATGTAGTCGGTCCATCAGGTCCAGGAAACGTTTAAGAAACTTCTTTTACTGCAGAAGCTAAGGTGCTCATTTCTGCTACCCACACAGCACCTTTCGGAACCCCAGAGCACTGGGCCTGTGGGAAGCTGACTCCGATGGACTGGGGCTAGACATGAAGAATGTTGTTCCCGGTATGCAGGTGAAAATCTCCTACCCAGTGAGACTGGCATCCTTCTGAAGCATAAAAAACTGCCTCGATGTGACCCGCCTGTGCAGAAGGCCAACAGCACCAGCAAACACATGTGACCAGACTCGAAAAGAAAGGACTTCTGTGTGCTGTCAGCCACTGCATAGTCATTAGTATGGCCTAGGTATCAGCATCACGCCTGGCATACTGAACACAGGCACCGAGAGGCCCCCTCATCAGTAAAATCCTATTTGGACCCTCTGCTTCCAGCTCCAGGCACCAATCACAGACAAAACTAATGTCATGCCCAGCCTTGGGTCCCAAGGCAACGCCAGCCGCAGTACGTCGTGTTTTTCCTGGAATACGTAAGCGCCACCCCCTCTAAGGTCCCTCCACCGAGAATTGAGCGATGGCTCCTACTCTGGACTTCACTTCCTATCCCCCTACCCTCGGATGCCCTCACCGCGAGTCCAATCAGCCATCTCGCCCTCCAAAGTCCCACTCTGGGACACCGCAGCACAGCGACGGACGTGGCACCAGCACCTGGAAGGGACTTCCGGTTCCGCCTCAGGTATAACAACTTCCGGGAGAAGGGACTGGAGCGGAAGAAACAAAGATGAAGTTGTTCTATGGAATGTAAATAAGGGAAGGGCGGGGCCGCCTGCATTCGGAGCCGCCCAGAACTAATAGTCCCGAGAGGAGGGTGTTACCCGGAGCACGAGCCTAGGCACAAACCGGGAGCTGAGGCCAGAGACCTCCTCAGTAACGCTGTCGGATGCGGCGGGCGCTGCGGGAGCCCAGGTTGAGAACTACAAGATGGGGAGGACAGACAGAGCTGAAGGAGACTGGCGAAGGAGACGCCAGGGCCTGACACCGAGTAGGTGCGGGGCACGCGCCGGTTAGCTCAGCGGGTGACAGATCATCCCCGGGAGCGTTGCTTGCGTGCGTCACCGCGAAGTGCACTTCCACCGACTCCGCCTGCGGGCCTGGCTCCCACTCACAGCCAGCGTTCGACCGCTTCCACCGTCTGACGGCCGCGGCAGGCCCCTCCATTGCCCCGCCCATGGGAGTGGCTTTCCCGGGTGGTTTTCACTTCTCTCTGGTCCTTCCTCATACACTGCAACTTTCCTTTTCCTTTGATAGCCACTTTATCTTTGATGTTTGGTCTTTTGTTTGTTTTAAGGACGGTCTCACTATGCATCCCTGTGTGGCCTAGAACTCACAGATCTGCCTGCTCCTGCGTCTCGAGTGTTTGAGATAAAGGCGTGCGCCACCTCGCCGAGCTATCCACTTTCTTTTGACCACCCGAGTCGTTGTGCTTGTCTTTCCCTGTTCCCCATGGAGCGAGAGCTTCAGGGTCTGGACCGTGAGAATCGCCGTGTGACTCCAGCTGACTAAGCGGCCAGAGGACAGCGCTCCCTTCGTCTCTCTCCCTGTTCCCCGACCAGTGCGTAAGGAGGGCGGTCCATGCGGGGGCCGAGACCCCACCTCCACGCTCCACGCCTGCTACAAACTCCCGGCTGGAGAGGAGGGAACAAAAGGGGGATGCTACTTGGTTAGCTAGCGTCGCGGCTCCAAGACAAGCCACTGGGCGACCGCGGCCAGGTGGGCTCCACCTTAAACCGGAGGCCCGCCCCCACGCCTGTACACACCCTTTCGGCTCGGCTGCGCTCCCGGCATCCCTCACGCGTGGACGCTGGGCTTCCGGACCTGGGCGGAGCCCGCGGGTTTGGCCGATTGCGTCTTCCCAGCCCAAGCCTTCCAGCACCCGGTGCCAGGGGCCATGGAGCCCCGGGCAGTTGCAGATGCTTTGGAGACGGGAAAGGAAGACACAGTTACAGAAGCTCTGCAGTCGTTCAACCGGGAGGTGAGAGGCACCCGGCTACCGAGGAAATTTCATAGAGAGAGGAAGCAGTGGTGTGCGCGCAACGCGGCTGGGGTGTGCGTGCGAGTGTGGCTGGGAGCACGGTCTTGGGTGGCGGGCTGGGCCTCGGGTGTGTCAGTGGTGGGGCAGGTGTCTGGGAGGCGAGGGTGGTGGACCTTGCCTTGCGTTCAAAGCGATGGCTGCTGCCTGAGAGGTAAAAGCAGACCGGCTGCCCTGACTCGAGGAGCACAGGTCCTACCTGCGTGTGGACCTGAGCCTACTGAATCTCCCTGCAGCACTCCGAGAGCTTCACCTTCGATGATGCCCAACAGGAGGACAGGAAGGTAGGTGCCGTCCTAAGGGGCTCCTAGGGCAGGCATGGGCTGCCCCAAGAGGAACTGGTGGAACCACTTTCGTCCCTCCCCACAGAGACTCGCAAAGCTGCTGGTCTCCTTACTGGAGCAGGGCTTGTCACCATCACTCCGTGTCACCTGGCTGCAAACTATCCGAATCCTAACCCGAGACCGCAGCTGCCTGGACACCTTTGCCAGCCGCCAGAGCCTACATGCACTAGCCTGCTATGCTGACATCACCGTCTCAGAGGAGCCCATCCCACAGCCCCCGGACATGGATGTCTTACTCGAGTCTCTCAAATGCCTGTGCAATCTCGTGCTCAGCAGTCCTACAGCCCAGATGCTAGCAGCAGAGGCTGGCCTGGTGGTGAGGCTGGCAGAGCGTGTGGGACTGTACCGCAAAAGGAGCTATCCCCACGAAGTCCAGTTCTTTGACCTGCGGCTCCTTTTCCTGCTGACAGCCCTTCGCACTGACGTGCGCCAGCAGCTGTTTCAGGAGCTGCATGGGGTGCGCCTGCTGACTGATGCGCTGGAGCTCACACTGGGGGCGGGCCCCAAAGAAAAACCCCCGGTGGTACTTCCGGCCCAAGAGACCGAGCGGGCCATGGAGATCCTCAAAGTGCTCTTTAACATCACCTTTGACTCTGTCAAGAGGGAGGTGGATGAGGTAAGCTGTAGCCCGAAGTCATGGGTGGGGCTCGGCTTGGCCGGGACATTTTGGGGTTTTGCTTCCTTCGTGCCTCAACTTCCAGGGTGTCAGACATGGCAACGATAATGGGACAGACAAGGCAGGGAATCCAAGGAAGGTTTTTGAGCTGTTGTGCATGGGGCGGGGGCATGTTCGTCGCAAGGCTTTAGGTGGCCAAAGGTCACCAACTGTGCTGTGAACAAAGCCAAGTGATAGCTCCATGTGGCCCTGGAGCACAGGAACCGGGGACTCCTTCTTACAGGAGCCCCTCTGTTTTTTGGTTAGGAAGATGCTGCCCTTTACCGATACCTGGGGACCCTTCTGCGGCACTGTGTGATGGTTACTGCTGCTGGAGACCGCACAGAGGAATTCCATGGGTGAGGGGCAGGACTAACGTGTGTTGATGGTGGGGAGAGTGCTTAGGCATGGGCACCCTAGTCCTCAGCCCTAGCTGTGAGTCAGAAGCACCAGGTCCCACCGTAGAGTGTGACTGTCAGGGGGATGGGACACCAGTGTGTTTTCAGAGAGCCCCAGGAACTCAGGGTATGACTAGGGGAGGAGCTATGGTGGAAGCTGGCATTGTAAGGCAGCGGGTCTCCTGTTCCTGCTGGTGGTGACCAGTTAGTACCTTACCTGACCTTGGTTCCCCGAGATTGCTTGGTACCTCAGCTCAGACAGAATGGGACAGGCAATGTCTACTGCCTCCCCACCAAACCTGAATGGGAATACCACCTGCCCTTGTCTCTAGTCCTCAGTGCTGTCCGTCAGTCCCCCGTATCATGTGTACCCCAGGAGAGGAGCCGGAGATTACATCTGTGCTAGAGTTACTCTCTCAAGGCCTCTGTCTGTCCCCAGCCACACAGTGAATCTCCTGGGGAACTTGCCCCTCAAATGTTTGGATGTCCTTCTCGCCTTGGAGCTACACGAAGGATCCTTGGAGTTTATGGGAGTCAATATGGAAGTGATCAGTGCCCTTCTTGCCTTCCTAGAGAAGCGGCTGCACCAGGTAGGTGGACGACCTGCATGTTGTGGCTTCCGTTGGTCAGCTTGATGGTATAACTTGGACAACTTCTCTGGTTGCTCTGTGGCCCCACCAGATGGTAGCCACTCAGTCAGACCCTCTCCGAAGCTTGTGGATACGGCATGTGTGTGGACCTCAATGCTGCTGATTACCAAAGAAAAGCAGGCTTCTCGGGGTCTACCAAGGCGAATGTTGTCGTTTAGGTCTGCAGTTCCCTGAAGTGATTCTCAGAAGCCTTTGATTCCCGCCTCCCAAGTGCTGGTATTACTTTCTTAAGCCAGTAAATGCCATCACCACCTTTGGCCCTTAGCTAACTTACTGCAGCATGACCCCTTTGGAAAAGTCCTTGCCAGAGCCATTTGGTGAAGTATTCAGTATGCCCCCATCTTCCATGGGGAGCATATCACAGTGACAGAAGCCTTCTTCAGACCCACAGGCTGAAGGAGTGTGTTGCACCTGTGCTGAACGTGTTGACGGAATGTGCCCGCATCCACCGTCCTGCCAGGAAGTTCCTCAAGGCCCAGGTACTTGGAAAAGGAGACAGCTGGGGAACATGTACTAGATCCTCTTTAAAGGCTCCTGGCTGCTCTAAGCCAACACTTAGAGACAGCTGCCTCCCCAGGTTCTGCCCCCTCTGAGAGATGTGAGGACTCGGCCTGAGGTGGGGGACCTGCTTCGAAACAAGCTTGTCCGCCTCATGACACACCTGGATACAGATGTGAAGAGGGTAGCTGCTGAGTTCCTCTTTGTCTTATGCTCTGAGAGCGGTGAGTTGGGGGAGCCCAAGCCCCAGGCCTTCCCTGCCTCAGCCATATTCACACATTGACCTCTGCCCTGGTCTTCAGTGCCCCGATTCATCAAGTATACAGGCTACGGAAATGCTGCCGGTCTCCTGGCGGCCAGGGGCCTTATGGCTGGGGGCCGGCCCGAGGGCCAGTACTCGGAGGATGAGGACACCGACACAGAGGAATACAGGGAAGCTAAGGCCAGGTACATGCACCTAATATACACTGGGTTCCCCATAGCCCCCGTTCCCCTATCCTTACCCCCAACCAGAACCAGTAGTACATAGGATAGGATGAGGAATGGGTAAGACCTAAACTCAGGCACTTGTTTTCTGATGACAAGCATCCTGAGTATACTGAGGCCCAGCAAGTAGGCTCTCTGAAAACCAGGAGGTCCTGGGTAAGAGTTGTCCAGCTGGTGTTGCGGGGGGTGGGTCTCCCTTCTGAAGTCCCACCAGAACCAAAGCCAAGAAGGTGGGCTCTTCCTAACGCAGCCCTCGGCATGAAGATGGAGGCTATGCCCACATAGTGGCACTTCTATAGCATCTCTAATCCATTTCTCATGCACTGTCCCTGGGAGCAGCATCAACCCTGTGACTGGAAGGGTGGAGGAGAAGCCGCCCAATCCTATGGAAGGCATGACAGAGGAGCAGAAGGAGCATGAGGCTATGAAGCTAGTGAACATGTTTGACAAGCTCTCCAGGTATGTGTTGTGAGGAAGGCTTGCAGCTAGGAGACATGGGTGTAGGAGGAAGTCTGATGCCGCCATTAAACATGTGACTTACTAAGTCTATGCCGCCATTAAACATGTGACTTACTAGAGGCGCATACAGATGTGGTAATAAAAGGGCGGTTTACCACACCGCTAACCACACCCACTTTAGGCAGGACTAAAGACGTATACGGCTGGATGTAAAGACGTATACATACGTAGGCGGAACTACGTCACTAGCCAAGCCCACTTTTGGGCATGGCTAGGGGCGTTACGGGGGAAGGCATAAAAGACAGCGCACAGGAAGTCTCGCTCTCTTTTCCTGGAGTTCGGCTTCCGGTCCAGTCGCTAGCTGAGATCTGCTGGGCTTCTCTGGGTTTGGTAACTTGTGAGTAATTTTCTATATAAAATACTTAGCCTTATTTTCAGTAATTGTGTGTCGCGTATCGTTACAGCATCTGTTGAAGCCAACAATTGATGTTGGGGAAGTCTTATGCTAATAAAGCACTGTCTGGCCAATAGGAATCTAGATAGGTGGGGCTAGGAGTCCAGGAGGACTCTGGGTAGGAGAAACACGAGGGGTTCGAGATGTAACCGCCATTGGGGTAGGAAGCCTGGAACTATTCTCCGGTAAGAGACATACTTAGATTAACAATTATGGGGTAATTACTTAAGTCAGAGCTAGCCAGTTAGAAACAAGCAAGGCCAACAGCTTCATAATTAATATAGCCTCCTGTGTGTTTATTTGGGACTCATGCGGATCTAGAACCAGGCTGGCGCGGCAGAGCCCAGGCGACTGGCGTGGGATAAACCAAAGCGGCTAGCAAAAGAAAAAGCTTCTCTTAACACATGGGAATGACTCTGTTTTGTGAACCCAGGGAGGCTGGCTTAGCAGAGACTAGTGAGGCTGCATTAGACATTTGAGATGACTTGCCCTAGAGGTAACCCTCCAGAAAAGAGGCTATGGTTAGCATTGCGTCCTGTTCATAGGTGATGTAAATGAGGACAAGAATGTAAAGGACTGCTTAACATCTCAAAGCTAATTAGGTGGCAGTTAGGATCTGGGCCTGATTAAGTTTATTTTAGTCCAAGTAGCTGCCAAGAATGAGCAAGACCCCCTGCCCTGCACACCAGGTTTCTTCCCCACCCACACTGTGCTTTCCCTGCAGGCACAGAGTCATCCAACCCATGGGGATGAGTCCCCGGGGTCACCTCACTTCTCTGCAAGATGCAATGTGTGAGACTATGGAGGGGCAGCTCTCCTCAGACCCCGACTCCGACCCTGACTGAAGATTGCAGCGGCTTTGCTCCCCTTCAGAACTGGTGCTGCTTCCAGATGTGTCCTTGGGGTGCTGCCTAGAGAAGCCACACTCCTCTCCAGCAGGGGAACCTTTCTCTTTACTCCCCACTATCCATGATTTGCCTTTGGTCCAGTTTCTTGTGTTTAGGACTGTGGTAGTCTTACTCTCTGTGAAGACTGAGAAACTATCCTTCATTTCCACAAGCAAAGTTGTTTCTTTGATGTTTGCCAAGCATATGCCATCGCTACAGACGTGGGCAGAGTCGCCTTGGCACATAAGTGAACATGCATGTATGAGGGTGGTGACTGAGTAGGTGTACATTGTATAAGCATGTCTGTATGTGGGGCATATCCTGTTTCACACATGGAAGAATCTACTGGAACTGTTTAAGTATGTCAAACACACGGCATCACAATTCCTATTTGTGGCCCCACTGAGCCCATGGCCAGTGAACGGCCTTTTCTGAATTCTTCTTGGTCTTGGCTCAATCACCACTGCATTATCTACATACCCAAGCCTCACTGAGAGCTCAACAGAACAACCACTGGCTTAGTAATTGTATGAAGGCAAAAGTGTAAGACAAGTACAATCTGAGATTTCTGAGGCACAGAATAAAGAGTTTGGGACAAGACTGTATATCTGTGAAGTAGCCAGGTGAAAAGATATCAAATAGAAACTAATTTCATTCTTTTTAGAATTCAGGATGCCCTACATCACCAGTGGCACATATGCTGTCATTGGAGGACAGAAACAGGAGACCCCATTCATTCCCTGGGATCTGCCTGCCAGCCCCAGTAAGAATGGGTGCAGGAACAGGCGGTGCTTCAACCTAGGAAACAGCCTCAACTGTATAACTGTATGCACTTGGGTAGGAGCCCAGGCACAAGCAGCCTGTGCTTAATCACAACTGCATGTAGGACAGGAAAAGTAAAAGACCCAGGGGTCTCCCTGAGTAATGCCTGCCACTGATTTTAGCACCATTACTGGAGAAGCCTGGGTGGGGTAGTGGGAGTGACTTAGGAGGGGCTGGGCAGACAGGATTCTGGATATTCTTGAGGGACTGTGTAGAAAAGGAGCCTGAGTTAATACCAGGGTGAGTCAAAGGACAGATGGGCTTAGTCTTGTTATCCTAGAGGAAGACACCCACATAACCTGAAATATGTTAACACTTAATTGTCCTGAAGAGACAAACAAAAGGATGCCAAGTTTTTATACTAAAATTTATTACATGCAAGAAATGAAGTTTGTTTGTTTTCTTTAGCAAAGATGCCTCTGTAGAGACTGACATGCCAGATTACCCTCATGCATCACCTGGGTCTGGTGATGGATAGACATGCTGTGCTGCCCTCCTGATAACTGTAAGGACCACTGCCAGAAAGAAGGCTTCTGCACTACAGGCTTCAGCAGTGATGGGACAGAGCACACATGGAGCTCCTTTACACTGTGATAGCATGGCCCCAAGGGTAAACATTCAAAGGCAGCCTCAGAAGACCACTACCCAGGTCACACATCGTGGTTCGGCCCAGATTTATAAACCTGTCCGAGCTGTTTTCAGGCATGAGGTCTCCCTGGAAAGAGGATCTCCAGTGTGACTTTCCCGCAGGTGATGAAGCCATAGTCTTATCTGTCCTGTCCATCCAGCTGGAACAGAGGAGCCCAGTTAACTTCACAGCCAGACAGGCTACATCCCAGACCTGGACCAGTCATTGAAGTCAAGCAAAATACTTTATGGAGCAAGCTTTTCTCTTTAAAGTGAACAAGAAAAGGGATCCCAGAAGGCCTAGCACATCACAGGTGGCTAAATAAAGACTGTTTTCCAAGAAATGGCACCAGCATACATTCAGTCCTAAGAGTCAAATTTTGGAACAAAAAGACAAAAATAATGCGGGTGGTTACATCTCATCTGTGGAAGCAGTAAATGCCAAAGCTCATCTACAATATACCTTGCTTCTCTTTGGTCCATTTCATTAAGAGCTCGGGCTAAACACAAGAGGCCAGGAGCTTTTGCCAGTAAAGTTGAGGAGACTGCTGGACATGGCCCAGAGCCATGAGGGGCTAGAATTTTCTTAAGATTCTGTCTTGGCAACAACAGAACATCAATTGTGACATTCTGGTGGAACCTTCTGAGCAATGCTGCACCTGTCTACAATAGAATTGGGGGTTGAATGCTAGCACTTCACTATAGAAAATAAACACAGCACGATTCTCATAGGAAACTATTCTGTATGAGTCACAGGTACTGTAAAGTCTCAAAAGCGTAGTGTTCTTTGGCTTCCTATTCCCAGTGGCTGTGATGACTATCCCCCTGCCCTTTTGTTTTTCTTTTTTGTTTGGTTTTGGTTTTTCAAAACAGGGTTTCTCTGTGAAACAGTCCTGGTTGCTCTGGAACTCACTCTATAGACCAGGCTGGCCCCACTCACATAGATCCACCTGCCTCTGCCTCCCAAATGGCTGGGATTAAAGGCATGTGCTACCACCACCCAGCTGATTAATAAATCATCCCTGGTTAGCTAAATCCCGTGCAGGGTGCAAAAAATGTCACCTTCTCAGCCCTCCCCCTCCCCTAGGTCCCAGCAATGAGTTGTGGAGTAGGAAACAAAAAGCAAGTCTATAGGAGCACCAAACACCTAAATGCCAGCAATGCGCTGAGGTCCGTGCCCACAAGAGGATGCGCACTCTTGGACTAGGCCCGGAGCTTAGCGTTTGTACCTTTCCAGTTTCCCGCTGGATGAGATCCTGCAGCTCTTGTGTCCAGCCCAGGAGGTCCACCAGCCTTTCCACACTCTGAACTACATCGCCTAGCTGGGCCACGTCCGTGCTGCGAGGACTGTAAGCAAAGGGCCCCACCAAGTCTCGATTGATGAGCAGCCGGGGCACTGACTTCGGTACTGCTTCAGACAAGCTGGCAAAAGGCTCTACCTGAAAGACAATCCAGTGTGAAGGGCAGGGTGTTCATGTACCATCAAGACATAGGACACCACGGCCTCTGGTACCTTGGGGCAGGAGACAAGGCAGACACTGTGACACAAGAGTTTGCCTCTTTGTTTCTGAAGGCTTCTGCCCCCTGGTCTGGGTGACCTCTTTCCCATCTACAGGTTACCTCCTCCACTGTGTTCAGTGTGCAACACAAACCCTGCTTCTCCCCACTCTATCCTTCCTCCCAGGCTGCGTGCTCTGCCTTCAAGCATCTTCCTTCCACCTGCTCTGTCCACTCTGTGACCTGAGCCTCTCCTATACTTGTCTGATGTAGAAGAGCGAGCACCATTTACCATCCTGCCTCCATCCCCCTGGTCCCCTCAGTCTCCTAAAGGGCAATGCTGCCATCATATTTCTGCACCAAGAATAACAATGTAGGAAATGTGTAGATTAAGGGGATGATATCAAGCCTGGCTCTTACCTAAGAGGAAAACGGTCAGTTCTCGCCTTTTACTAAAGAAGTTTCAGATGTATTATGGATTTAAATGTAAACGAACAGTTGTTAAGCAGGTATGGTAGTGGCGCACCTGTAATCCCAGCAGTCAGAGGTGGAGACAGGAGGGTCAGATGTTCAAGGTCATTCCTCAGCTACACAGCAAGTTTAAGGTTAGCTGGAGCTACATAAGACCCTCTCCTCAAAAAAAGCAAAATACGGGACTAGAAAGATAGCTCAGGAGTTAAGAGCATTTTCTGTGCTTGCAGGAGACTTGGGTTTGATTCCCAACACCCACATAGTAGTTTGCAACTGTCTGTAACCCTAGTTCCGGGGTAACCTTTCCATGGGTACCAGGCACACAGGGTATACATACATTTATACAGACAAACACTCATACACATAAAATAAAATGTTTTTAGATAAGCAAAACGGGTGAAAAGGCCTCAATAACGGTTCTGAAGAAAAACCAAGGGAAGGCCATGATAGCTCAATGGGTAAGGAACTTGCCACCAAATCTGACAACCTGAGTTTGATCCCCAGGATCTACATGGTGGAAGGAGAGAAATGATTCCCACAAACTGTCCTCTGGCATACACATACACATAAATGTTTAAAAAATGGTTCTAAAGGGGCTGGAGAGATGGCTCAGAGGTCCTGAGTTCAATTCCCAGCAACCACATGGTGGCTCACAACCATCTACCCTGCCAAACCTTAAGTGGAAGTCCTTACCTTTTTATTGAGACCTACCAACAAGGCTCACAATAAACACTCACATTTAAACCCACACCACAACATTCACTCGTATATTTCCCCTTTGTGTACACCACCCCTAATGGTGCCTCAGTTTTAAATCTCACTTTAGTGGTCTAAAGCACTAAGACCGGCCTGGCTCACATCACACAATAATAGTAAGAGGCTGAGTGCACCAGCCCTAGGCCTCTGCCCATCAGCCTCCCAAACAGAGCTTTATGGCCTTTCTCCCCTATGGCTACACACAGTTGGGCCCCAGCCCATGGTCTTTACGCTCTTTAGACCTTTTGGAAATCTAGCATTCAGACGCCAAAGCAAATCAACTCCTTGTACACCTCCAATGGTCATCGCCCAGGACACTCACACCCACATGCTGACCCCAACCCCACTGGTCCTCTGACTGCACTCTAATCCTGCAAAACTAATGATGCTGCAGCCAACCTTCTCCCACCAGATGTCATTACAGGAATGACTGCCATCTGCTCGTCATCCCAAAGTACAGCTCTAGAGCTGCATCAGGCCCTGCAGTCCTGCCTCAAAGCTAACCTTTTACCATACCTTTATGCTTCCTATACAGCCACTGCTCCCAAACTCTGGGATGTCACTACCATTGACTCTACTCACCTGAAAAGGTGGCACTACCAACCAGGCCCTGCCCCTCCATGCTCTCTAACCCTCCACCCATCCCCACATGCCTTCCAACAAACCTCCAGGGAGGTCCCAAGAATGAGTAGCAGGTCTGCCAGGGAGAAATCGGCCACATGTAGTAAGAACCGTGCAGGCAGTGGCTCCCCAAAGAATACAATATCAGGTTTCACAACGCCAGTACACACAGGGCAGCAGGGCACCCTGTCTGCCATCACATCAGCCTGGGGATCAGAGGGGAAGAACCAAGGAAGGTGACTTTAGAAGGAGGAAAAGGCAACTGCTTCTCAAGGGAATTCTGAGCATATCCAAAAGCCGAATTGTAATGGACCCCATGTGGCTTTAGCAATTTTGTCAACTGTTTCTTTTTTTTTCATTTTTTTAAATTTAAATTTAAATTAGAAACAAGGTTGCTTCATATGTCAATCCCAGGTCCCTGTCCCTTTCCCTCCCCTCCTCCCACCAGCCCCCCTCCTTTTCCCAGGGGGTGTCCATAGTCTGTCATTTCATCCAGGGCAGGGCCTAGGCCCTCCCCCAAGAGTCCAGGCTGAGAGAGCATCTCTCATTGTGGGATGGGCACCCAAAGTCCATTTGTACGCCAGGGATAAATACTGATCTACCCAAGGCCTCATAGATTGCCTAGGCCTCCTCACTGACACCCCCATTCAGGAGGCCTTGGGACTGTTTCTTACAACCCTCAAAAATTGGAGGGGTGAAATATTTCAAATCAAGTCCTAGACATTGCCCAGTTTCACCCACAAATTCTCCTGTAGGTTCCACATGGGGTGATGGCAGCCCTCACACCATGCTTTGTAGACCCTGCGTCCAGCGAGAAAGGCAGCATAAACACCCTCGTAGAGTAAATCCTTATAGCTAACCTGAGTAGATTTTAGTGGAATAACTTCAGCAAGAATGAGTAGAAACAACTGCCAAAATATGTCCAAAATTATCAGCCACAAATCATAAAACTATATGGTGTTTAAATTAATAGGAAAAAATGGACAGCTTGAAATGTCCACTAAAAATATCAAAACTTTAACTGTCATGAATTAAGAAAAAAAGAACCAAATAGAACTTCTAGAAGGAAAATAAAAAGCAAAAGTAAAATTCAATGAACAAGGTATTGATGAGTTTGAAACCGATCAGAAGAAATTACCCAGAATGCAACACAAGCAGTCGCAATGGCAGACACTGCAGAGCACCCATGACTGTCAGAGAGAAGGTGGGATACTCACCTACTCAGAGTACCATATGCAGCGGGAGGAAAAGGGTGGGAGGAAAAGGGCAGAAATGATGGGCATCTGAGGAGAGAATGGCTGGGTATAACCTTGCAATGACAAAGAAAGTCCTATGCATTTCAAGCAGAATAAATAAAAGGAGATCCAAATGGAAACACAACCCAGTGAAACTCTTGAAGAAAACATGTGAAAACTATGCAGAAAGCAAGATTAGAAAATGGATTCAGAATAGCCAGTACAACATGGAAGGAGGGAAGTAAAGTCAGAGACCTCCCAGATGTTAGCACTCTAAAGCCAAAGGTACCACGACTGCTGAGCTGGTGAGAGAATAGAGAGGTCAGTGAAAGAAACTGACACAAGCATCATCAACTGGTCCCTGACGAAAGAACAGAGGCGATTCAGTAGAGAAGGGTTTTTTTTTGTTTTTTTTTGGTTTTTCGAGACAGGGTTTCTCTGTGGCTTTGGAGGCTGTTCTGGAACTCGCTCTGTAGACCAGGCTGGCCTCGAACTCACAGAGATCCGCCTGCCTCTGCCTCCCTAGGAGAAGGGTATTTTTAACACATATACTGAACACACATCCACATGCAACAGGATGAACAGGACAGACTTACATGCTTCACAAAAATTAAGGTGGAAGCCAGGAGGTGGTGGTGCATGCCTTTAATCCCAGCATTTGGGAGGCAGAGGCAGGAGGATCTCTGAGTTTGAGGCCAGCCTGGTCTACAGAGTGAATTCCAGGCCAGGCTCCAAAGACACAGAGAAACCCTGTCTTGAAAACAAACAAAAAAAATTAAAGTGGATCAGAGACCTACATGTAAAGAGAAAAACTTCTAGCAATGACCCCACAGAGTATCTGAACGCCTGGTCCCTAGCTGGTGGTGCTTTGGGGGAAGTTTAGGAGGTGCAGGCTGGCTAGGGGGAAGTAAGTCGGTGGGAATAGGCGTGAGAGCTATATCCTCACCCTAGTTCCCTGTGCTCTCTCTGCTTCATGCTTGCCCTTGAAGACCTGAGCTCTCAGCTTCCTATTCCTGCAGCCACGCCTGTTGCTCGCTGCCATGTGTCCCCACCATGATAGACTCTTACCCCTCTAAAACCATAACAAACTTTTTAAAAATTGCTTTGGTCACAGTATTTTATCACAGCAAAAGAAAAGTAAATAATATACCTGCTGAGCCATCCTGCTAGCTCTACAATGAACTCTTAAAGCTCAGTGTTGTGGGATATTTGAACACTGTGTGCTGTGTGAAGCTGTATTACTGTGATTGGCATAATAAAAAGCCAAACAGCCAATAGCTAGGCAGCAGGATTTCTGGGCAGAGAGTGAAAGGAGGAATGTGGGGTGGGGGGGCAAGGAGATTAGGAGGAAACACTATGGGTGGTATGTGACAGAACGTAGATTAATAGAAATGGGTTAATTTAAATTATAAGAGCTAGTTAAAAACAAGCCTAAACTAAGGTCAAGTTTTCATAATTAGTAAATCTACTTGTCATTATTTGTGAGCTAGTGGCCTAAAGAAAATCTGAGTACAGCTCAACAATAAAAATCAGACTTAGATGCTGGAGAGATGGCTCAGTGGTTAAGAGCATTGACTGCTTTTCCACAGGACCTGGGTTCAATTCCCAGCACCCACATGGTAGCTCACAACTGTAATTCCAGTTCCAAGGAATCTGACACCCTCACATAGACACACAAGCAGGCAAAACACCAATGCACATAAAATATTTTTTAAGAGGAATCAATTTTGAAAATAGCAAAATACAGCGCACGCCTTTAATCCCAGCAATCAAGGCAGAAGCAGGCAGATCTCTGAGTTTGGGGGCAGTCTGGTCTATAGAGCAAGTTCCAGGACAGCTAGTGTTCACAGAGAAACCTGTCTCAAAGAAACAAAAAGCAAAACACACACACAAAAAGAAAATAGCAAAATACATGGACACAATCCCAAAGAATAAAAGTTGACAAATGACCACTTGAGAAGATGTTCACCATTAAAGACCACCAAGGAAATGCTAATTAAAGCAATGTGATATCACTGCACACCTGAACACATATCTAACCCAGATCTTCAACATGGATAACAGAAGATACTGATGAGAACATGGAAAAGTAGGGGTTTCAGCTGCTGCTGAAATGCACAATATCATAGCCACTTTAGAAGACCATTGGGGGGGGGGTGTTGGGAACTTAACCCAGGACCTCCCATGAGCTAGCCAAGCTCTCTAAGCTATATCCACTACATATATCATCACTAACATATAGATAGCCCTAGTTCTATGCTTCTTACAAAACCAAACACACTGCTACTATGATCCAAAAACTGTTTCTTGATATTTACCCAAAGAACTTTAAAACTTTTGTTCACATAAAACCTGCATATCCTTGAATTGAAGCATTCATATCACTAGCAGAATGGATAAACCATGGTACATCTAGACAAATTGTACATTATTCAGAAAGAATTAGAAGTCAGCTGCCAGACCAGGAAATTAAATGGAAGAAACAAATACTCACTTCTAAGTGAAAGAAACCAATATGAAAAGCTGCATACTATATGATCCCAACTACACTCTAGAGAAGACTGAACAGTAAGAAAGTAAGATCAGGGGACTGGAGAGACGGCTCAGTGGTTAAGAGCACTGACTACTCTTCCAGAGAACCAGGGTTCCAATCCTAGCACTTATATGGCAGCTAACAATTGTCTACAACTTCAAGACCCAACACTATCAGAAAGACATACATGCAGACAAAACACCAATGCAAAAAAATAAAAATAAAAAAGAAAGTAAGATTAAAATTGTTAGGCATTGGGGTAAAGGAAAGATAAGCAGAACACCAAGGAGACTGGCAGGAGTCCTGTGGATGATACCACAATGATGGATACTTGTCTCTACACGTTTATCCAAACTGTGGACTCTGGGAAGAGTGTCATCAACATGGGTTTATCAGCTGCAAGGTTACTGAATTTGGTGTAATGCTGGAAGTGAAGGAAGCTCTGTGGGTAAAAGGTATAGGTACATGGTAACTATCTGTACTTTCTGCTTAATTTTTCTAAAGCTATAAAAAAAGAAAGTTGGTTTAAAAAAAAAACAAAACAAAAACTTATCTCCAAAGGCTATGTGTTGAGGACTTAACCCCTAGCCTGTGGGGCAACTGGGAGAGGGGCAGAGCCTGTAGAAGGTAGGTTTAGCTAGAGTCTCAGGTCATCTGTGAAGGGACCAGTATTCAGCACAAGACACCCTAAGACCAAGTTCTCAGCACAAATGAGATTTATTTACCCAGGAGGACAAAGGGCAGGGACTAAGAGACAAAGACAGGAGACAGAGGATGAAGGGCAAGGGAAAGGAACAAGGGAGACGGTAGGGGATAAAGGATTGCCTCTGGAAAGACAGAAGACAGACGTGGCCCATAGGCAAATGGCAGTTTATAAAGGTTAAAGAGGAAACCCTATGTTAGGATGAGTTGATTTGTTTTGATTGGGCATGTTAATTAGTACAACCAAAAAGGGGCTTCGATTGCTGGACTTCAATGCTTTGATAGCTGGACCTTAGCAGTTGGCCTCCTGGGGAGGAAGTGGTCAAATAAGGGCATAGACCTTGGTGCCTAGCTTTAGGAATATAATCTAGCAGTTTTTAGAATAGAGAATAGAATACATCTTGGTGCCTAGCTTTAGGAATGTAATCTAGCAGTTTTTAGCAAGGCAGATGAAATGGGGGAAGGGCAAGGCCTGCCAGAGTCATGTTTGACATGCTCAGGCTGGTTACATCATGTTTATATGTTCATATATCTTTTGTTTTAAAAACCCAGAGCATTACATTATCCACCAAATCATGGAAAGTAAGCAAAAGGGATTGGTTAAAGGGAGATCCATTTTTTTCCTTTTCTGGGGGGCAGGGGGTTTGAGACAGTCTCACTGTGTAGCTCTGGCTGTCCTGGAACTCACTATGTAGATCAGGCTGGTCCCAAACTCACAGAAATCTGCCTGTCTCTCTCTTTCCCAAGTGCTGGGATTAAAGGCATGTGCCACCACATTTGACTTGGGAGATTTTTTCTCTGTATTTTTCTGACCTGTATTTTGTGGGTAGAGAGAGTATTGGGGGTGAAATCCCAAGCATTCTACCATTGAGCTATATCCTCAGATGGCCTAAGTTCTTTTACAAGTATGTAGCATTTTTTTTATTAAAAATAAAGGATCCAGGCATGGTGGAGCACATCCTTAACCCCAGCAGAAGGAGATGGATCTCTATGAGTTCTAGGCCAGCCTGGTCTAAATAGTGAGACCCTGTCTCAAACAAACAAAGGCCAGGCCTGGTGACATATACTTGTAATCCCAGCACTGGGGAGGCAGACACAGGTGGATCCCTAGGGTTCCCTAACCAGCCAGTCTAGATAACTTGGTGAATTTCAGACCACTGTCAGCACCCTGTTTCAAAAACAAACAGATAAACAAGCATAAAATGCCACTATTATAGATCTTCCACCCCCAAGGACTGCAGAAGGCAGACCCCATTTCATAAGGTAACTCACCCTGAAGTCCTCCCCAGGGAAGGACCTTCGACAGACCGTGCATGTAGCTGATGCAAAAGACCCATGAGCTTCAACCAGCTTGGAGGCAGGGATGCCAGACGCTGAAATTCAAACCAAAGCTCAGTGTTGCAGCCTCTGGGATGACTATGCACGTACTTACAAAACTAGGTTTCAAAAGACCGTGTGGCTGGTAAGTGAACAGAAGGCGACTTCTCAGTCAGGTGTGATGGCTCATGCCTGTAATCCTAGCTGAGGCTAAGGAACTGAGCGTTCCAAGACAGCAGGGTTAGTAAATTCAAGGCTAATGTGGACAATAGCAGAGCATTTTCAATAACAACAAATGATTTCTCATGAAATTAATGGGTGCTATTTGGTTCCTACCTTCCTCCAAAACCTGTCCTCCTGTTGGGGGAAAAGGCAGCCTTGGTGCTTCTGAGTTGTAGATCCCTTCTCAGAGGAACCCTGTCCTTTGAGTAAGACACTGCCTTTCTTCAGACCACAGCACCCCCGAAGACAACAGAGTGGCTGCTGGTCACTGACTACTGCCATGGATGCATACTACACCTTGGGAATGCATCGGCAAATTCTCCCTCACTGCTGCTGTCGCTGTGTAAAGCAGAACCGAGACATGTCTGGCTGACTTGGACAACACTGAGGTGTGGATGGTCCTTCAGCATAACGGCCTGAGTTCTGCTTTCACAAGGCTGTATCTTCCAGATACCCAGAGATATCTAGACAGTTTCTATATTAATGCTAGACGTGAGGAATCTGCCTGAAAACCATCTCAGGGTGAAAGAGAAGATAGGGAGGACAGAGAGCAAGGCCTGACCATGTGTCAGTAATGGAAACAGAGGGAAAGGACATAAGGGTTCCTTAGGAGGGAGGAGACAGAGAGGAAAGGAAAAAGGGAAGAAGAGGGGAGAGGGAAGAGGGAGGGGAAGAGAGGGAGAGGGAGACAGAGACCCACTCCAGATTCAACATATGACCTTTAGTTCCATCTAAAACTCCAACCCCAGAAGGTGTGTGGGAGACAGGCCTACAGAGAGGTTTCAGCTGTGGCCTCAAACACAGACGCAGTAAAGACATAACCAGTTGCCTGGCAACAGTCCCAGAGATGACATATAAACACTAGGCCATAGACAGCCCCCCTTAGAAACAGACACAGACATGCGAGGAGAGAAAGCTCACCTCTCTCAAGTCCATCAATGTTCTGTGTGTAGAGCCGCAGAAGCAGCTCCTTGTCGTGGAGCAACCGAAGGAAGTAGTGAGTGACATTAGGCCTATAGCGCCCAGGGTACAGCTCCTTGGCCAATGTGAAAAAGGGCTTGGGGTTGTGAAAGAAAAAGCCAAGTTCAAAGATGGCCTCAGGGTATGGGATGTCATACTGCTGAAGGTTGCTATAGAGGCCACTTCCTGGGGATCTGTCGAGACAGAAGGGGAAGGCTAAGCCCTACGGAAGAGAGTGGGGGGATGACATCAGAGGGAACTGCAGTGTACCTGAAGTCCGGGATGCCACTGGGTGTGCTGATGCCAGCCCCCACCATGACCACGACCCTCCTGCAGGCTCTGGTACGAAGCAGCTCAGCCACATCCTTCAGAGAGAGCTTCACCTTCTCACTGTTGCCCCCACATCCAAAGCTGCCTGGGGCTCCCACAGAGAGGGATATGGGCCTTCTCCCACCTGTAATGCTGACAGTAAGAGCACAAGAAAGGCAGCAGGTGGCAATCAGTCTTATGCTAGCAAGAGTGAGTGCAGCTGTACTCTTCTCACCATCAAAGGTGGGCCAGCACTCTCTCTAGTTGCACCAAATAATCGCTTTCTCGCCATGCATAACTACCAACTAAAGCAGAAAGCCATCTTGTATCAGAATTGAGATTTATTTGGGGGCAAAGAACTTCTGGTTTGACAGACACTGTGTGCATCAGGGAAGCACCGCCACAGCTTGGGTGCTCTGAAATGGTCACGGCTGGGACAATTCTGCAAGCTGATTGAGGAGTTAGACCATTAAGAGTTGGAATGTTGCAGATCAAGAGCTAAACTTACCTTGGGCTATCTCTAGACCATTGGATAGGATACCTAACATCCTTTTGATTATGAAGTAAGACCTTTGGAATGCATTGACTTCAAAGAACACAAGCTTCCACTAAACTAAGAGCTAAAGACGTCATTAAGTAGTGTCTGAAACCTATAGCAGAGATTTACTTCTTGGCTGTAACCTACCTACCTGATGTCCCCACCAATATATTCAGTAATTTCTGACTGTCTTGTGCTCTGTGACTGAAAGTTTGTAGAACTCCTTCAACTCCTTCCATGAGAGCGATTTTACTTGGAGTAACCTAAGTTGGTGTTCCCAGGGCATGGTCTCTCATACTGAGTGCAGAATAAACCATGCCTTATTCCCTTTGAAGCAAGAACTGTGCTTTGTGTCAACAGTATAGGCACTCAATGTGAGACGTCCCCAGGGATGACCCAGTCTCATCAGAGGAGTCATCAAGATCAGCACCAGGTGCCAGATGGGGCCTTCTGTTCCCAACTATCTGTGTCACCTTCTCGGATAGAGTCCTCCCTGGAGTCTAGAGTCTGGACCTGCTTTTGTTTGACTGATGATCAGCACTGGCTTATCTGAACACTATACTGGGTAGCCTCCTGCTGTTGTGGGACATCTGTAATAAAGCATTCATCAGAATCTTTGCTTCCTAGCATTCACGATTTCTCTTCCAGAACTCCTGCCTTTTTTTATTGGTCTCTGTCTCTTGCTTATTGCAACCTAGTCTCTTTTAGTTTAGAAATCTTATGACGGCCTACTCTTAAAGATGGTGAAGATAAGAAGCACTTGTCCATCAATCAGGGTGGAGGTATCAAGGAGGAACCCCCAAGAAATGCAACAACCTCACAGAGAAGCCTAAGACAACGTACTTCTTTCCTGGGTTGGAAGAAACCTTGTTGGCTCAGCTGGGGAGACACACATAAGAGTCAATCACCCCGTGTCATGAGCTCCCTCACTTTTCTACAAGCACACAGGATAAGTCCAAAATACAGTGGGAGGAACTGACTGGAGAGAACCAAGGTAGCTGCTCCATAAGTGCACTTAACACTTAGTCCAAATGCACACTGCACCAGCAGGCAGAGCAGGTTACAGCTCTCAGGAGCAAGGACACCAATATGGAAAGTCTTTGGAGAAACCCTGCCAGTCAGCACTCCAGCTATTCTTACATTTGGTAATTACCACAGTTCAAATAGCATTGAAAAAATGGGGACACTTGATATTTATAAATTGTTTTTGTTTTGTGCACAAAACTAGAAGTACTAGGTAATATAAGAGAAAAATGAACAAACTAAATTAGAATGTCAAAGCATCTAAGAGGAGAAATAATTTAAATTGCTGATTTTTATGAAATAAAAGTTTGGAAATGGACAAAACTTTTTAACATATGTTAAAGGAAGAAATAAACAAAGCCGGGCGGTGGTGGCACACGCCTTTAATCCCAGCACTCGGGAGGCAGAGGCAGGCAGATCTCTGTGAGTTTGAGGCCAGGCTGGACCGCCACCAAAACAATACAGAGAAACCCTGTCTTGTAAAACCAAAAAAAAAAAAAAAAAAAGGAAGAAATAAACAATAAACCTTTAGAGATTGTGTTAGAAGTTAAAGACAAACTCTGAGGAATCTAACTTTCCTCCACCACAGCCTCCTTTCTCCTTCCTGACTTTGCCTCTTCTTTTTGTTTGTTTTTGGAGACAAGGTTCCCCTGGATGTCCTGGAACTAGCTCTGTAGACCAGGCTGGCCTTGAGCTCACAGAGATCTGCCTATCTCTGCCTCCCAGGTGCTGGGATTAAAGGCGTACGCCATCATTGCCTGGTGCCTCTTCTTTCTTTATCACCCTTTCCTGTCTTATCCAGTAACCTCCAAGAGAAAGAAAATTCTGTATCACAGCCAGTGTGGCAGTGTACCCCTTTAATCCCAATGCTTAGGAGGCAGAGGCAGACATCTGTTATTTCTAGGCCAGCTTGGTCTATACAGTAAGTTCCAGGACAGCCAGGACTATATAGAAGGACCTTGTCTCAGGAACAAAAAACAAATACAAAAAATTCTTTATCAAAGGAAAAGATTGTTATAACCTCTGTGGTGGTTTGAATAAAAAGGCCTCCATAGGCAAATATATTTGAATGCTTAGTTACCAGGAAGGGGTACTACTTGAGACAGATTAGGAAGTGGGGCTTGTTGGAAGAAGTTTCAAAAGCCCATTCTCTCCTCTCTCTCTCTCTCTCTCTCTCTCTCTCTCTCTCTCTCTCTCTCTCTCTCTCTCTCTCTCTCTCTCTCTCTCTCTCTCTCTCTCTCTCTGTTTTCAGGTCAGGATGAAACTCTCAGCTACTTCTCCAGCATCATTCTTGCTTGCATACTGCCATGCTCCCTACCATGATAATGGACTAAGCCTCTGATACTGTAAGCCAGCCCCAATTAAATTCTTTCCTTTATAAGAATTGCCATGGTCATGCTGTTTCTTCACAGGAATAGAACAGTGACTAAGACAGCTCTTTTAGGATAAAGCCTATGTGCAAAGAACAATTGGGGAAAAGGTGGGTAGAGTTCTTGGACTCACATCACAAAACAGTGTCCAGAATCCAGAAATAGACCCACACATAATGATTTGATTTTCAAAAAGCAAGGTATCCAGTGCTTTTCAATGGAGAAAGGTCTGTTGTGTTGCTGTTGTTTTATATTTAAATACTAAAATAATTAGATGTCAATATGAGAAAACAATCACATTTGACACCCTCCTTTACCATGAACAAATACTGACTTGAAATAAGCCCAGTATATTGGCACATCCTGTAATCATGGCTACTTAGGAGGCTGAGGCAGGAGGGCCACTTAAGACAGAGTTCAAAGACATTCCCAGCAATATGGCAAAATCGCATCTCAAAAGATAATGCATCATACTGCAGAAAGATAAGATTTCTAAGAAAAATCACAGAGGAATATCTTTATGACCTTGGGATTGCAAAGAATTGGCAACTATATAAGAAAATAACAATAAAGTACACCACCCTCAAAAAAAAGATAAAAAGATAAAATGAAGGCTAGAGGAAGAAAACCTGAGATGGAATTTGTGATGAAGGGTTTCCTTTTTTTTAAACAAATTTTACTTAAATTACAAACAATCTTATTTTACATATCATTCCCAGTTCCTTCTCCCTCCCAACCTCCCGTGCTCCCCACCAACCCCCCATCCCATCCCCCATCCACTCCCCAGGGAGGGTGAGCCCTTCCATGAGGGGTCATCAAAATCTATCAAGTCATTTGGGGCAGGGCCTAGGCCCTCCCCCGTGTATCTAGGCTAAGAGAGTATCCCTCCATGGGAATGGGCTCCCAAAGTCTGTTTGTGCACGAGGGATACAGTCTGGTTCCACTGCCAGAGGTCCCATAGACTGCCCAGGCCTCCTAACTGACACCCATGTTCAGGGGGCCTGGTTTGGTCCCTGACTTCAAGCTCTACTATAGAGCTATAGTAATGAAAACAGCTTGGTACTGGCACAAAAATAGACAGGTAGACCAATGGAATAGAATTGAAGACCCTGATATTAACCCACATACCTACAAACACCTGATTTTTGACAAAGAAGCTAAAACTATACAATGGAAAAAAGAAAGCATCTTCAACAAATGGTGCTGGCATAACTGGATGCTGACATGTAGAAGATTGCAGATAGATCTATATCTATCACCATGCACAAAACTTAAGTCTAAATGGATCAAAGACTCAACATAAATCCAGCCACACTGAACCTCTTAAAAGAGAAAGTGGGTGGTACCCTTGAACAGGAGACCACTTCCTGAACATAATGCCAGTAGCACAGACACTGAGATTGATAATTAATAAATAGGACCTCCTGAAACTGAGAAGCTTCTGTAAGGCAAGAGACACAGTCAACAAGACAAAACAACAGCCCACAGAATGGGAAAAGATCTTCACCACCCCACATCTGACAAAGGACTGATTTCCAAAATATACAAAGAACTCAAGAAGCTAGTGACCAAAGCACCAAATAATTCAATTAAAAAGTGGGGTACAGAAATAAACAGAGAATTTTCAAGAGGAATCTAAAATAGCTGAAAGACACTTTTAAGAAATTCCTCAACATCCTTACTCATCAGGGAAATAAATGCAAATCAAAACAACTCTGAGGTATCATTTTACACCCATCAGAATGGCTAAAATAAAAAACAACAATGACAGTTTATGCTGGGGAAGATGTAGAGAAAGGGGAACACTCCTCCATTGCTGGTGGGAGTACAAACTGTACAGCCACTTTGGAAATGGTTTCTCGGGAAAACGGGAATCAGTCTACCTCAAAACCCAGCAATTCCACTCTTAGGCATATACCCAAAGGATGCACATTCATACAACAAGGGCATCTGTTCAACTATGAAGGGTCTCCTAATCCATATCAGGACCCCTTGGGATTTTCCGAAGAATTTCAGACCTATTGCCTAATTCAGTTACTGACAAGGCAGATGGACAGTTTCATTTGGCAGATGGAGGAAAAGCCTCCTTTGAAGATTGTTGAAAGACAGATGCTGATGCTAAGAATGCCTATTAATGAGGAAGTCACTCTGCTGTAGTTTCAAAAATATTCCCACAAGGATGTGATAGATACTGTGAAGCTTAAAGAACATTAAAAGCTCAGACTTTATACTGTTATATAATCAGGATAGAAATGAGGCTCTAGTGAGGACTCCAGAAAGAAACACCCATACTAGGAGAGTTAGGGGTACTGCTGCAGACAGCTCATCAGGGCAGCTCCCGTGACTCAGCAGCCAAATCTACACAATCAAGCAAGGCCACGGAATCCGGCAAATCACGGCTCTCCCCACACAGGTCTAAAGGGGTCTAGGATCACCTTCAAATGCCAGAAAATAGTAAGAGGAGTATGAACTCATTTTTCAAAGGAAGAGTCTACAGAAGGCAATGGACAAGTGATGGGCTCCAGTGATGTCTCAGGCAGGTTTTCACTCAGGAAAATGTGAGTTTAATAATCACAGCATGAAGGAGGCAGAGGCAGGTGGATCTCTGTAAATTTAGAGGCCAGTCTGGGGGCAGGGGAGCCAGGTGTGGTTAATCCCAGTACTCAGGAGGTAAAGGTAGGCAGATCTCTGAGAATTCAAAGGTTACCCTGGTATACATAGTGAGTTCCAGGACATCCAGGGCTATGTAGAGAGACCCTGTCTCAAAAAAAAAAAGCCAAAAACAAACAAAAAAGTTGCAAGAATCAAAACTTTAAGAAAAATGATTCTATCACCAGGTTCTACAACCAAAAACTGAGAAATTACTGAGGCAGAGGGGTGGATCTCTGTGAGTTCAGGATCAGCCTAGCTGACATAGGGAATTTCAGGACTGAGACCCTGTCTTACAAATAAAAAAATTAAAATGTATCTTATGAAAATAAGAGAAAGCATTTGTACATTAATGTATTAAGAGCTATTATAAACTGAATGGGGCAAAGCACCAAAATCCCTACCAAGATTTAAAATGTATATAAGCTCTAAGTAAGGGATAAAGAACAAAAACATCACTGAAAAGGGGACACTGGGTAGGAGATTTAATCCAGGAATTATTAACATCATGAAAAGACTACATGAGGGAGGGGCTCTGAGAGAATTCTGACCCATGAAGCATGCAAGGAAAAGACCCATACACATAAAACACGATTAAAAAGTGGTAAAAGCCGGGCGTTGGTGGTGCACGCCTTTAATCCCAGCACTTGGGAGGCAGAGGCAGGTGGATCTCTGTGAGTTCGAGGCCAGCCCAGTCTACAAGAGTTAGTTCCAGGACAGCCTCCAGTCACAGAGAAACCCTGCCTCAATAAAAACAAAACAATACAACAACAACAACAACAAAAAAAAAAAAAACAGGGTAGAAAGTGATTGAGACTTCTTACATCAGTCTATGGCCTACACACACACACACACACACACACACACACACACACACACAGGAACACATGAACACACAAACACACAAGAAAAGCAATATAAACAGCACAGAGTCTGCAACCTGGCCTGAAAATGCCACCAAAGCCTGCAGCCAGAGAAACACTGTGCACTGCAGCTTCACAAGGCCCTGGAGTTTCCTGAGTCTATAGCCTTCACTCATGGCTCTTGTTATCTAACCAAGCTCCATCACCATGGCAATCTGCCCTGAATTCAGAATCATCAGTCTCAGGCCACACACTGAGAGCTGAGACACTGGGCCAATTCTCCCATCATATGGCCCTAATGGCTAGTATAGAGACCTCTCTAACCAGAGACACTGGGTGGAACAGATTAGACTGATCAAATTGACCCTCCCCAATTAAATGAGTAAAGTTAATGCAGGCAAAAAGAAGGCAACTAAGAGTATGTCTTTCACTCATAATACAATCCAGAATAAAGCTGCTAACAGTACATCTTCAGACAGGGCAGTTCAGAACCTGTCTTCTAGCAGGATGATACCAATACAGTGTTCCTCTTTGTCACTTCCTTTGCTCCTTACAAAATCGACTTCACATCATGCCACCTGCCTTCCCAGAAGCTCTCCTCACACCATTGCCATTCTAGTGACAATTCTAACCCTTCATTTTAGCCAAACAAAAGGCTTATTCGTTTTCATGTCCTAAATCCTAGTGATTCTAAGTAACTCTTTCCCAACCAGCATATTCTGCCTGAGAAGCATGGTCTCCACCTTGGAGTACCATAATCCCACAAGGTTAAATGCTTGCTGAACCCTAAGGATAATCACTGACCCTCCTCTTAAAGGCAACAGTGCTGGCTCCCTCTCCTATTAGGGTGCCTTTCAGCTCTCTCCTCTGCGTTCAGTTATCCAGGGACTTGTGTGCCACCAGCAAGCCAGGAGCAATCCTGCGGTACCCTGAGCCTCACTGACAAGGCTCAAAGCAAGGAGGCCAACGATGACTGGACTGTTTCTTTGCTGTTGCTGTTGCTGTTGCTGTTAGTGGTGTTGTTTTGTTGTGCTGGGGGTGAAGAGACAAGAGCTTTCTCCCAGATTTACATCCCAACCCCTAATTCTTAGCCTGATTTGGAGGAACCTATGTTTATAAACCTCTCACCAGAGAGTACAGAACAACAGCAAACAGCAGGAGAAAGACCTCAGCCCCTCCCACACTACAGAGATGGGCCAGTGCTTCTAAAGAAGATCCTGTGGCATCACAGTAGGATATAAAAGCACTTTACCAAGGTCCCTCTGTTGAGCCAAGGCAGTGAAGCCCGACAAGGGGTTCCCGATGAAAACAATGAAGAATGAGAAAAAGAAAGTTCTGGCTCCAAACCCACATCCCTCCCATCAAATGTCCCATCTTACACAGCACCTAGGACAGTTCCCTTACAGTTCTTGCCCTAACATTTGCTGAACTCCTCTAAATACAAACCATATGGAACTACAAAAGGGTCAAAAGAAAAGTTGTGACCATTGCTGAGTGCCTGACAACTGCCAAATATACAGATCAGGGCACATAAAGAACATTTCTTAGTCACCTGTACCAAAAAAAATGTTTGCACGTCACTGACAATATCTAAAACAGACTTAAAGTATAACTTAAACTACATCTACATGGTATGGAAAACTCCTGGGATGAAGACACCAGAGGATGGCATTAAGTGATGTCTGAGACACTGCAAAGAGACAAAGGATGGAGTCACCTAAGAGTCCCAAAATCTAAAATCAAGAGCAGAAGAAATGATGCAAGGCCTGATCAGGTTTGATCCCCAGCACCTAAAAAAAAATAATCCAAACTCGTATATCATTTTGGTAAACTGCTGTGTGTGTTGTTTGAGCTATTGAAAAGCTGGCTTTGGAGGCAGGGCTGACAACTCCCATTTCTAACCCACGTTGGTCTCAAAGTCCAAGGTCTGGATGGGCTGGCTCCCTTAACCGTGTAACAGGAAGGAAAGGGAAACAGCCAGAGTGAAAACACTGCCCATTAGAACAGCTAGAAGGTGAACCATTTCCAAGGGGTTACTGCTGTTTATCCCAGCAGAGGGAAGCACAGCCTGAGAAGCTCAGACACGGAGGAAAAGCTCATCTGAGAACTCTCAGCTTCCTCTGTCAGTTTTTGTTGGCTGCAGCAAGCTTCCAATTTGATATTCTCTCTCTGTTGCCATTTGTTCCTTTACTGAAAAACCTCACCAAAGGGGTCACTCTTTTCTGCCAGCGACTCTCTTTACTGGAAGCTCCACATGGCTACCTTAGGGGGGCTTCCTCAGATTTCTGCTGGATTTTTTTTTTAATATCCAATGTGATGACTTCTCTCTCTTAATAAACTCACTGAAAATAAGTCTATCATAGACCATTCTCGGGAGTATACAAAACATATGACTATTTTGCAGACAGTATGACTGTTAGTGAAATTTTAACCTCACAACCTTCGTGTGTGACAATTAAAACATAAATAACAGCTGGATGTGGTGGCACTGTGACTAATCTCAGCAGCAGGAGTTGGAAGCAAAGGATCCGCAGTTCAAGGTCATCCTCCTTCACACAGCCAGCTGGAGGCAGGTATCAACTAGGAAACCCAGTCTCAAAACAACGCAAACCACATAACTTTACACAAGGCAGTCTATTGGGAATGTATGCTCAAAATGGGATGCAAACAAGGTTATTCAAAACGTCGTTTTTTGTAATAATACGAGATTAGAAACTACTTCGATAAGCAAACGGTGACATGAAGTATGAGACATCCATACAACGAACTTCCACAAAACAAAGACTGTGCTGCAATGGAAATAGGCGCATTAAAAAAAAATCTTTAAAGAGATGAGGTACAGACGAGGCCGGACAGTCGAGCTTTGTGGAAGAGCGCACCTGCCAGGTTCTCACTGCCGCAGTTGTTTTCAGCTGCCCGCCCCTAAAACACCTCTGACAGCCTATCTGAGGGACCCCGTGGCTTCCCCGCCCCGGCTCACCTCCCGGGCCCCACAGTCTGAGCGCGGCCAAAGCCAGTCGACCGCTCAGCGCCATGATGCTCTGCAGGGAGACGGCACCTAGAGGGTCAAGTGCCATCCGAATCCCCGCCCCCGTGCGCCAAGCCCCGCCCGATCCTCTTACCCCGCCCCCTCACGCCCAGCCCCCCCGCCCCCAGCACCAACGCCTCTCACATGGTGCGCAGCGCGGCGCCCCCGCACGTTAACCCGACGTGCCCAAGGGGATGTGTATGCCCGTGCGGGCAGCTTCCCGCTCCGTGGGACTCTGGCTTATTGGCTGGGAAGGCAAACTAAGATGCTTCATCGTTTTACCCTGCGCTCGACCTTCTTGACAGGGTGGATGATAACTAATGGTCTCTGAGCGCTCACTGCGGTCAGGAATTTGATCACACCTAGTCCTCGCCAGACGCCATCCCTGTTTGAGAGGACCCACGTCTGAAGGCTTGAGGCTACGTGACCACGCGGTGACCAGCTGTCCCCAGCCACCGCCACTCTCACGCCTCAAGGGCAGGGCCAAATACGCGGGAGAAGTTTGGCCGAAGTCAAGAACGCGGTTACCTTGACGACCGCGACCGGCGGGGCTACTGGGACGCTCCCGGCATGCCCCGCGCAACGCGGTGCCGGAAGTGAGCGAGCACTTCCGTCCGCCATCCCTGCCGGTTCCGACAACTCGGTGTTTCTGTTCCCAGCTCTCTGCAATCATGAAGGATGTGCCGGCCTTCTTACAGCAGAGCCAGAACTCCGGGCCGGGCCAGGCCGCCGTCTGGCACCGTTTGGAGGAGCTGTACACGAAAAAGTGAGCTCTGCGGCGTGGGCGGGAGGGAGAGGGCTCTGGGAGCACCAGGAGGCTCTGAGCAGTCCCGAGGGTCAGGGATTTGGAAGAGGCGACAGCCAAAGGAGCAGAGCCGCTGCCAGTGTTCTAAATCTAGACTCGCTGCTTTACAGCCTTACCGGCTGTGACAGACTGTCTTAACTAAAGGGGGGCCCGGGCTGGCCTGTGATGCTAGCCCTTAATTCAAACAAGCAAATAGTTTTGAGGCTAGAGTGCCACCCCGTCTGAGACACAGGCCCTGGTAACTCGTACTAAGCCGTGGTGTGATTGTCTGCAGCCCGTAAATTCTTCAGGATTCTACAACCTTTGATTCAGCCCCCATTGTCCCTATTTTCTGTTATAGTTCACATTGGCCTCTTTCCACTGGAGAGACCTTAGTGTTTGAATTTGATTGGAAACAGGATGAACTTCAAAACAGTTACAGGTTGCTGACACTGATCTAGAGCTTTCCGTGAAGAAACACCTTTCCACGCAGAAACTTTCCATTCGTGTGTTTCGGTGGTGTTCAGCAGTTTTCTGCTATTAGTGTTTTCAAGAGAAGTTTTCAGTGTTGAGTATGTGTGGGCTAACATTTTGTATTCTTCAAAGCACTTTATCTGCACTACTAAAGACTAGCATTTAGTCTTTGTGTGAAATGAGCTACGTCAGTGTCCTAAAGATTTGTATCTTGGCGTATTTTAAATACTGGCTTATTTCATCTTTCCTTCATCCCATCCACAGAAGAGGAGACTGGAGATCAGTTTTCTATCCCTCCGTAGGATATTCAGCTAATAAATAAGAGAGCATGGAGTTCAAAATATAGCTGTAGGATTGCAGAGTTCTTCCAGTTGACACTCATAGGAAATGAACTTGAATTAGTTGGCACTTGCTTTAACTACTACTGTCCTGTGCAGTGGGACCTAAGTAATGCTTGATGCTCCTGGGACCGTCAAAGCTGGAGGTGTCTGTCACTCTGTGTTAGTTTATGAGTCGGAAGGACTTTTTGTTTTTTAGGTTGTGGCATCAGCTCACACTTCAGGTGCTTGATTTTGTGCAGGACCCGTGCTTCGCCCAAGGAGATGGTCTCATTAAGGTAATGACTTAACATACTAAGTCAGATTATGTTGGGTATACTCACAGACTTTTTTATTTTTAATGCGTAAGAGTGTATCAGAGACAGTCTGTGCTTGCTACACATGTGTGTGGATGTGTGAGGAGGCCTGAAGACATTTCCTGGAGTTGCAGGCATTGTGAACCAACTGGTATAGATGCTACAAACCCAATTTGAATTCTCAGAATGCTCGTTACTGTCTCTGAGCCATCTCTCCAGCCCCTGCTCATAGTTTTCTGGGTTTTTTTTGTTTGTTTGTGATAGGCTCTGGCTGGCCTGAAACTTGCTGTGTAGACCAGGCTGGTGTAGAGAGAGATTTTATGTATCCACGGGTACGTAAATGTCTCCCTACAGGCTGGGATCATCAAATTTACAGTTATCCACCTTGGCCCTCCCAAGTGCTGGCATTAAAGGTTGCACTGTCACGCCCAGCTCTGCTCATGAACTTTTAAAGAAAAAAGATGGCCTTTATGGTGGTCACAGTAAGCTGCATCTTTTCAACAGTCACTTTGTGTCAAGGACTGTTGTAAGCATGCTCATGCCAGCCCTAGGAAAGTACTTTTATCTCTCTCTTTTTAGTGTAATAGCAGACATAGATGAACCACCATAGGCCACAGCTAATAAATCACCAAGTTGAACTAGACTTCTAGTTTTCTAAAAATTTAGACTAGAGCTGGCAACATGGCTCAATGGAAGTATATGTTTAACATTCACAAGACTCTCTGAGCCTTACATAACACCATAAAAAACAAACAAACCTGGACGATGATATACTTGTAATACCAGCACTTAGAAGCTTGAGGCTGAAAGATCATTAGTTCAAAATTAGCCTGGGTTACCCAGCCAGATTAGTAGGGAAAGGCACCATTTAAACTGCTCTCCTCACTTCCCAGCTCTCCAGCCCCTGTGTGCACGCTGCTTCCACCTGCTCAGAGCTCGGTGTCTGTCCAGAGTAGGATAGAAAAGAGATGTCTCTTAGTTGAAGGAGAGTGAGTTGGAGAGGGTACTGCATAATATGCTGTTTCTGTAATAGAGCACTTTTATAATTTTATAGCAGAAAAAAATAGAAATACACCCTTGCTTCATCAGATTCCCTGAGGAATACCCATGAATTTTCTCACCAGAGCATCTTTTTGGAAATCTTTCCTGTCATCTGATTTTGTTTTTCTTTTTTGTTGTTGTTGTTTGTTTGTTTGTTTTTGTTTGTTTTGTTTTTTGGTTTTTCCAGACAGGGTTTCTCTGTGGCTTTGGAGGCTGTCCTGGAACTCACTTTGTAGACCAGGCTGGCCTCGAACTCACAGAGATCCACCTGCCTCTGCCTCCCAAGTGCTGGGATTAAAGGCGTGCACCACCAACGCCCGGCCTGTCATCTGATTTTGAAAGGGGTACTTGGCATGTAATTGTAGCTGGAGTTATTGTTCCTGAATACGTTATAATGCTCACTTACCACTAACTACCTCATCTCCTGGGCTTTTAAGATTTCTTATGGATTTTACATATTAGTTTGACATTTTACCACCCTTAAGAATTTGCAGTCACTTGTAAGCCTAAAGATTTTGCTGGGCATTCTGTCTTCCAGCTCATTGGAAAAATGATAAATCAGATATATTGCATGTTCTGTATTACAGTGATACACAGTTTATATTTATCCTTTTCTTTCTAATATTCAGCTGATATGCACCCCCCACCCCTTCTTTGTTTCTTTTTGAAGAGGTTTTTATGTGTGAGAATGTTTGGCCTTCCTGTGTGTATGTGTACCATGGGCATGCTTGGTGCCCTCAGGTTAGAAGAAGACATCAGATCCCCTGGAATAGGTGTCACAGATGATTGTGAACCATCATGTGGGCGATGAGAATATTGTCATTCATTTGTTCTATCTTCAGTAGTCTAGGAACATCTTGGAAGCTCAGTGTTTGCCACACATAGTGTCTATAGTACAGCCTAGTGTCTGAGGAGGTACCTGTGTGCTGAGTGACTAAGAAATTTGGTAATGCAGGCCAATAGAAGGCCTATAGCATTCTGAAATCTGATTGAACTCTATTCTGTTTGATTAGGAACCCTTCACCCTGGTCCAGCTGTTGTACTTGGAGCACCTTGGGGGAAGAATATAAGAATTGATATTTAGGAGGGATTTTTCTTAAATGTATTTATTTTATATAAATGAGTGCTTTATCTGCATGTATGACTTTATGCCAGAAGAGGACATCAGATCCCACTATAGATGGTTGTGAGCCACCATGTGGTTGCTGGGAATTGAACTCAGGACATCTGGACGAGCAGCCAGTGATCTTAACCGCTAAGCCATCTCTCCAACCTCCTATTGATTGAATTTTTTTTTTCAGACAGAGTCTCTGTAGTGCAGGGAATCCTGGAACTATCTCTGTAGATCAGACTGGCCTCGAACTCACAGAGATCTGCCTGCCTCAGCCTCCCGAGTGCTGGGATTAAAGGTGTGTGCCACCACCACTTGGCTGTATAGGAGACTTTCTAGGCCAGTGTTCTAAGTCTCAAAGCTAGGAACTTTCTTTCTTCAATAATCCATTGGTGATCATTTATGTGGACTTAAATAGCCCTGATACGGTTCTCCCATCACTCAGCAGAAGTTTTAGGCAGTGCTTTTTATGTGGCGGGCAACATGGCTTGCACACTCACACTTGACAGTCTTAGTGCCGCACCTCTAACCAGAAGCAGTTTTCAGAGTCTGGTTTTGCAGAGTGACGCTCATTCTGTGCTAATTCTCCGTCTTTTGTTTTGCAGCTTTATGAAAACTTCATCAGTGAATTTGAACACAGGTAATCCCATTTTGTCAGTTTTGACTTTGAAAATGAATGCATTAGTACTTTTTAACACTCAAAAACTGATGGTTTTTATTTCAGGGTAAACCCTTTGTCCTTGGTAGAAATAATTCTTCATGTGGTTAGACAGATGACTGGTAAGCCTCTGTTTGTTTCATTATAGAAAACACCAAACTGGCCAGATTTAGTGATGCCCACTGATGTCCCAGCACCGGGTGAAACAGTGATCATAACCTGAGATGCATAGTCCCAGGCCAGCATGGGGTGCATTGTGAAAGTTTTGTCATAAACAGAGAAATGTTACTGTTTATCTTGCCTAAAGATGTCCTAGCTGGTAAGAAGCTGCTGTTGGTGGGTCTGACTCTGTTCTTATTTCTATTCTAGATCCTAATGTGGCTCTTACTTTTCTGGAAAAGACTCGTGAGAAGGTAAATATGAAGTTTGAAAAGCATTTTCTGGTATATATGTGTTTTGTAATTTATGCCTACCCTGCAGAAGTCACCTTCCTGGTCTCAAGGTCAAGTCTGTCCCCAAGGAACAATTCAGTTTGCAAGTTTGCTGCCTAATTTTCTGAGGTCCCCCCCCCTTTTTTTTTAATCTCTTCAGGTAAAAAGTAGTGATGAAGCAGTGATCTTGTGTAAAACAGCTATCGGAGCTCTAAAATTAAACATCGGGGATCTACAGGCTACAAAGGTGAGAACACAATAATACATGTATTCTTCCTCTTTGTCTCTTTAAAATAGGTTACGGGGTGGCGGGGACCCAAAGAATTCTCATATTGTAACCTAGATTTCCCTTTGTTTTATATATTCTACCCCTCTGTTCTGTTGTTTGTTTTGGTTGGTTGGCTTTGCTTTTCTTTTGTTTTCCTATTTAAAGTTAAGTTGCTAATGAGACTTTTCACTCTTAAATAAAGAGCGTTCCCTGTGTGGCCAACACCTATCAGGAGTCGGGATCCTTGTGGTCTCAGTTGTACAAAGCCTTTG